ATCAAAGCAAAATTAAACCAGAAGTCTTAATTATCTAACAGCCACCAAAATATTATATAAGAACATAATGGGAAGAGGGGACAACAAGCAACAAAAAGCTGGTAAAGAAATTTACCTTAATGCAAGTTACTCTCTGCATGGGCAAATAGTGATAGGACAAGGGGAAATGGTTTTAAACTAAAAGAGTAGAGATTTGGATTAGAAATAAGAAGAAATTCTTTACACCTACAGGGTGGTGAGCCACTGGATCAGGTTGCTCAGAGAAGTTGTGGATGCCTGGAAGTATTCAGGGTCAGATGGGATGGTGCCCTGAACAACCTGGTCTGGTGGGAAGTGTCTCTGCCCATGGTAAGGGGGGCTGGATGATCTTTAAGGGCCCCTCCAACCCAAGCCTTTCTAAGGTTCTATGATTCCAAGCCACTCACTTTTTCTTAAAGAAGGATCAATTTTAAAAAGTAATGGCTTTTATGGAACAAAGACCCTCATTTTTCTGCCTATACACAGGGCCACATGCTAGAATGAAGACAAAGTGCCTTCCTAAGATTGATTCCAAATAGGAACTCATTAAATTCTGTTGAAAGAAACAAGAATTAGTCTCCTGAGAGATCAGTAGCACTGGTGACAATATTTTATTTATTGCTGAAATTATGTTTGGCTCTGATCAAACAAAACCAAATTCACCATTAAAAACAAGCCACATATTCATGCTGACAATAAAGCTACTAACATCCTTCCGTGTGTATTCCTCTCACAATTATCACTATCCTAGAGATAACCTTCACAGCTATAAAGGTGTGGCTGTTCACCAGTCTATGGTACAGGAAAACAAAGAAAAGCAAGATGCCCATGAAAGAGAGAGGAATTAAGCATCTTCCTTTTCTTATGCAGCCCCATAGGCCTGCCACTCCCCCACCGTGTTAGAGCTGTCCATAAGGGTAATACACATCTTCTAACAGCTGACAGTGAAAGCCATTTTGCTAACAATGAATACACAGACATCGTGATTTATCAGTTAATACCACAACTGTAGGTGCAGATTCATGGCATCATTGCACTGTGCAATCCCAGGTTGCAAACAACCAGGCTCCTCTTTTCCATAGCACTGACACCCAAAACAAACCGCCCAGTCACTAACCTTTAACATATCAGTCTCTCACCCAGCCACAAATCCACCTGACCCAACTCATCACCCTGAGAAAGCAATGGAAGAACCTGGAATTTGGAATTAGGTGGGACACAGCACCTGGGAAACTAGTGGGAACCCTCCTCTATGAAGAGAAGCTGAAAAAGTTGGGGTTGCTCCACCTGGAGGAAAGTTGCATGGAGAGCTCACAGTTACAGTATCTGAAGTGGGTCTACAGAGGAGCCAGAGACTGATTCTTTATCAGGAACTGTAGTGATAGGACAAGGAATAATGGGTACAAATTCAAAGAAGAGAAATTAAGTTAGATATCAGGAAGAAATTATGTACTGTGAGGGTAGTGAGACACTGGAACATGTTGCTCAGAGAAGCTGCAGGTGTAGTGTTCAAGGCCAGGCTGCATGGGCTTCTAAGCAACCTGGCATAGTGGGAGGTGTCCCTGACCATGGCAGAGGAGTTGGGAAGAGAGAATCCTTACGGTCCCTTAAACCTCCTAACATTCTAAGTTTCTATGAATACAGGAGATACAGCACCAGCAGCAGCTCTGCGGTGTCGCCTCGTCGTCCTTCTTGAAGACAACTCCGCTGGGGCCGAAGGAGCCCGCAGGTTCTCCCGCACGGAGCTGGTGCCACTGCCAGGCCGGGAGCCGCGGCACCGCAGCCCGCCCGCTCACCCATCACGGGCCGTCGCTCGCCGCCGCCCGGAAGGGCCGGCACGGAGCAGGCCGGGGCTGCGTCCTCCGACCGGGGCGAGGACGAGCCGGGGAAGGCCGCGGGCAGCAGAGACGCGCTCGGCTCCAAGCAGCGGGGCGCCTTTCCCCGCCGCGGGGCCGCCCGCCACCGCGGCCCTCCCTCGACCCCGGCCGCCGCGCTCGCTCCTCACCTGCGCCAGGCAGGGCCGTGCCCCCCCGAGCAGGCCCCTCCCGCAGAGCAGCTGCTGCAGCGGGGCCCCGGGCAGCCCCCGGCGGCCGCCGCCGCCCCGCGCCAGCAGCAGGTACCGGTGCGCCATGGCCGCCCGGACCCGCCGTCACCGCCGGCCCGCGCCGCCTGACGTCACCGCGCCGCCGCGTGCATTTCCTCTGCGTCCGACGGGCAGCCTGGCCCCGCCCCTGGCAGAGGCCACGCCCCCGGCGCGTGCCGCCCTCTGACCACGCCCACCGCCCTCCCCAGCGGAGCCCCGCCCCCCGGGGCGGTCGGGTTTCCCGGAATCCCGGGATGCACCGGGTTGGAAAACATCTCCGGGATCATCGAGTGCAGCCTCTGACCCAGCGCCACCACGTCAGCTAGACCATGGCACCAGGTGCCACGTCCGAGCTCTCCTTAAACACCTCCAGGGACAGTGACAACACCACCTCCCTGAGCAGCCCATTCCAATATTTAATCCCCCTTTCTGTGAGGAATTTCTTCCTAATGTCCAACTTGAACCTCCCCTGGCGCAGTTTGAAGTTACGTGCTCTTGTCCTGCTCGCCCGGGAGAAGGACCGACCCCCACCCGGCCAACACCTCCTTTCAGGCGGTCGTAGAGAGCGATACGGTCACCCCCGAGCCGCCTCTCCTCCAGGCTAAACACCCTCAGCTCCCTCAGCTGCTCCTCACAGGACATGTGCTCCAGACCCTTCACCAGCTTCATTGCCCTGCTCTGGGCACGCTCCAGCATCTCCATGTCCTTCCGAACCGAGAGGCCCAGAATGGAACCCAGTATTGAAGGTGTGGCCTCACCAGTGCTGAATACAGGGGGGAAATCCCCGCCTGGTCCTGCGGGACACACTGCTTCTGATACAGGCCAGGGTACCACTGACCTTCTTGGCCACCTGGGCACATGCTGGCTCACGTTCAGTCTTGTTGACCAGCACCCCCAGGCTCTTTTCCACTGGGCCACTTTCTAAGCACTCTGACCGCAGTCTGTAGTGCTGCATGGGGTTATTGTGGCCAAAGTGCAGGGCCCAGCATTTGCTCTTGTTGAACCTCATGCTGTTGGTCCCAGCCCATCTTTCCAGCTTGTCCCAGTCCCTTTGCTGACTCAAGGGTGCAGGTGAGTCAGCGGGGCATGGCTCAGCCCAGCCCAGCCCAGGCCAGACAGCATCACTGAGAAGGGTGGGTCTCCTTGCTGCCAGAGCTGGTTTAGCCTGCAGTAATGTTCTACAAAGCCAAAGTAGGAAATAAGGAAATCTGTCTCCTATATTTGCCCCATTATGTAAGGCATTTCATATCAATGTGTTTGCTGTGGAATGAATCCGTGCAAAGTCCTCTAGGTGAACTCAGGCACTTGGCATTACCGCTGTTAAGGAAACATCCCAGTCTGACCATTCACAAGACTGTCAGTCCCATTCCCAGGGCCAGAGACTTTCACTGCTGGGACCACAACCCCCTTCCAGCAGGCAGCTCCAGTGCATCCACAGGTGCCCCACTGGACCCCCACACACAGTCAGGCCAGGTTTCCTTACTGGATCCACCCCACATTCCTCATGGCAGAGTCTCAAATGTCTCGTTCCACAAAGCAATTTATTCATGGTGCAGTAACACAAAAACAGCCCCAGCTCATGCCTCTGAGAAGGGACCCCAATAAAGAAGCCCCCTAGCTTTTATATCCCCACAGTCGAAGCCACATGCAAACTTCACTCTTACTCATGAGTCTTTGCCCCTGCTGTGTCTCCCAGTGTCCATTCACCTGGCTAGCACCACCAAAGGGTTGGCAGTTCATGGCCTCTTGTCTCAAGCTCCCACCAAGAGCTCCACCTACATCTCAATCTGCAGCTTGCAAACAGAGCTACTGCCCCACATGTATTCCTCAACAATCACTTCATCCCTGGGCACAGCCCAGCACATGCTGTCCCTGGCTGTGTGTCACCCCCACGGCTGTTTCGAGGGTATTTTATAAAAACTCCTGGTTTGATTAAACCAAAACACTGGTAGCTCACACAATCCCAAAATCACAAAATGGGAAAGGAAGGGACCACACTGGGTCATCAGGTCCAACCTCCCTGTTCAACCAGGGTCATCCCAGAGCACATGGCACAGAGTTGCATCCAGATGGCTCTTGAATATCGTCAGTAAGAGAGAGTCCATAGCCCCTCTGGGCAATCTGCTCCAGTGCTCTGTCACCCACACAGTAAACAAGTTCTTCCTCATATTTAGTTGGATGGAGCTTCCTGAGCATCAGTTTCTGCCTGTTGCCTCTTGTCCTGATGCTTGGCATCACCGAGCAGAGCCTGGATCCATCCTCTGGGCACCCTTTGCTCTAAACATATATACACAATGATGCAGTCCTCTCTCAGCCATCTCTTCTGGAGGCTGAACAGGCCTAGGTCCCTCAGCCCTTCCTCCCTCATGACAGAGATGCTCCAACTCCATCATATTTGTATATCCACCAGACCTGCTCCGGGAGCGCCACATCTCCTTTGTACTGAGGAGTTGGTGGTGACAGTTTATTTGTGAGGACCAGGGGGAACAGTCAGTCAGTGGTAACACGCAACTGCTTTCTCAGGACACGCCTTTCTAGCGCTAACTGTATCACGGGAGGTTTGGGTTGGATATGAGGAAATGGTTCTTTACATAGAGGCTGGTTGAGCACTGGAACAAACCCCCAGGAAAATGGCCAGGGCACCAAGCCTGACAGAGTTCGAGAAGCGTTTGGACAACGCTCTCGGGCACGCGGTTCCTGGGGCTGTCCTGGGCAGTGCTACGAGCTGGACTTGGATGATCCCTGCGAGTCGCTTCCAGCCGGGACACAGCGACCCCGGGCCCGGCCGGCGGGCGCTTCTGCGCATGTGCGCCGCGGCGCCTCTTCCACGGCCGCGGGAGGGGCGGGGCGGTGACGCCGGTGCGTGACGCGCGCGCCCCTCCCCGTGGCCGCTCGCGCTTGCCGGGCCGGCGCGAGGCTGTCAGTCAGCCGCGCGCCGCCGCCGCGCGCCCTCCCTGCCGCTCTCCCTGCTTCCCTCCCTCCTTCCCGCCCTGCTTCCCGCCCTGCTTCCCGCTGGGCTCTCAGGGACGCACCGCCAGCGGCCATGAAGATCTGGAGCTCGGAGCACGTGTTCGGGTGAGGGGGCCGGGCGGGGAGGGCCGGAGGGCGCGGCGGGGCCCCCGCGCTTCACGGAGCCGGGCCGTGCGGGGCCAGCCGGGTCTCGCTGGGGTGACGCGGAAATGGGAATGCTGCGGGCACGGCCGCAGGACGAGGAGGGGAGCCGGGAACGGGCCTCGGTGGTGCCGATCCTGCATCGCCTCGAGCTGCTTCCTGCGCGGCCGGACCCCGCGCCTGGGCTCCTCCTGTCTCAGGAACAGCATTCCAGCAGGATGGAGCGGTAGAGCTGGCCCGACAGCGTGATGGCTTGACAAAGGGCTGTGAGTTTCGGGAAAATGACCTCCACACTATGAATAAAAATGAATCCCAAGCTACTGATGTAGGCTATGGTGCATTCCAAGAGGTGTGGACGGAGTGCCGGTGTCCCTTAGCCCAGGTGTGTGCCCCGCAGCCGGCTCTGGGTGCGTCTCGCCGTCAGCGCTTTCCTGCGCTGAACGCGGTTCTGCCCGCCCGGTTCCAGCTTCGCGACACGGGGAAGCAGCAGGAAAAGTATCGGGAGGCGTGTACCAGGCTGTCCCGGGGAGCTGAAGGGCTCTGCCGTGCTGCTGCAGCTCTGGGATGATTCCTCTGCTACAGGTGTTCCAAAAGTCTTGAGGCCCGAAGAGCACCGGGGGTGATAGTTCTTAACATATTTACAAAATACCCCTGATGCGTTGCTCTGAATTTCTCTAATTACCTCAACACAACTGAATTCCTTGCGCTGATGCAGGTACTCGGTGCTCCACTTCAGCATTGGTCTGGTGTAAGTGAGCTGTGGTTTCTAGGAGGAAATATCAGGCAGAAGCTGCTCGAGCGTGACACAACTCCCGAGCTTCAGATGAGTATTTGTCACCTAGGGAATGCAAAAGCTATTTTTATTTGACATTTTCTCATCAAATTCTGCATTAGAACATCCCCATCTTATGGCGTAATGTGTGTGGGTGTAGGTAGTTCATTTGAATGGTTAATAAAATGTTGTTTTGACTTATCAGATCTCTGACTCAATCCCTTAGGGACATTTAACAGAATTTTGTCATTTTCAGTTTGTGGATCTTCTGTTGATGGAGGTGTAAAGTCACCAAAGATGGAACAAGGAACAATCCTCCAGTTCTTCTGCTGCAGGAATCGAGGGCTCTTATTTCTCCTGCTTGCGCCAGTAAAGCTTCCTGACACTTTTCTTGTTAGAAAAATAACTTATTTGTCCAACTTTCTGTTTGTTGTTGTAGTGCTGTACTGTCAGTGCCTTTCTGTACCAGTCTATTTTAAGACTAAAATAAAATCCATTCAGGACCCCAAGTGCAACTCTTAAGTACAAGTTGGCATCCCTAAGCCTTCTTAAGTTAGATGCCAATTCTTGAATTTTTAAACATAGCTTTAAGGCTATCATGTCAGGACAGTCAGTATTCTGAATAAAGAAATAATGAGGGACAGAATTTCTCTGTTGGATCAAGTCCATGGTTTCTGTAGCCTCATCTGTTTCAGAAGGAAACACCTGAAGTACCTCAAGAGCTATGTGAACAGTCTGAACTTGAGTGGCAGGACTGCTCCAATCCCAGGAATTTGAGGTTATCAAAATTTGTTTTGTAAAAACAGTTCTGAGAAGAGTATCTGTAAGTGAAGTTCATGCTAACAAACTGCTGGAAGCAGTGGTGTAGGTGCAGACATCAGGCTGTGAACTCGTGGGGTTTCTAAAAATCTGTTTCTTTATTTAGAACTTCCCAATCATCCTTTTTTTAGTAGAATTTAATTTCACTTTGCTTTTGTTTTTGCTATAGGAAGGAGCAGAAGCTAGTGATGTCCTCTTCAGTTTATTTGGTATGCTTAGAATTACAGAAAAATTTATGGTGGAGTGGACTCCTGCAGGTCATGCAGTCTAGCCCTCTTCTCAAAGCAGGGCAAGCTTATGTGTTAGGTGAGGTTGTTTTCCTGGTGGAGTTCTGGAGTGAGCTGAGATTTCCACCATCTGTGGGCACTGCTTGGAATGCCACTTGTAGCAGTGAGTGACTGTTGCCCCTTGGCTTCATTTTTCTTAGTCTTGGATTAATAATTCTTTGCTTCAGTCTGGAGAGAAGAATTTATTTTTTCTTCTGTTTTTGTATCAGTGCTCTCTTATTGCCTTTCCAAGCATAACTGTATTCCAAAGGGATTTCTGTGAGCTATCAGCTGCACAGCCTGTACCACATGGCACAACCTATATCCTGATTTAGTATCATGTGATTACTTGCAATTCAATACAAAATACTTACAAATACTCTCACCTCTTCCTTTTGCAGGCATCCCTGGGATACTGTGATCAAAGCTGCTATGAGAAAGTACCCCAACCCCATGAACCCATGTGTGGTAGGAGTAGATGTCCTCGACAGGAGCCTGGATAACCAGGGGAGGCTGCACAGTCACCGACTTCTCAGCACGGAGTGGGGATTGCCCAGTATTGTCAAAGCGGTACATTTTTGCAGCCTTCATTCTTTATTAAGGCTGTGATCCCTTTTATATCATCCTGTGAATTGGAGCTGACTTTGAAGTAAAACATGAAACTTGTGTATGTCTGTAAATGCCTTCCAGGCTGGTCTGTGCCATGCTCAGTGGCTGATACATTCTAGACAGTGAAGTCTCGCCACTGATCACAATCCTCTGGTATCCATGAATTTGTATTTATTTGGGTTCGCTGAGAACTTGGCATTCATGTGTTACAAGGTTCAGTTTGTTTGTTGGATTTTGGTACTTAACCTTTCTTTTTCCCCCTTAGATATTAGGAACAAGTAGAACTCTGACATACATAGAGGAACATTCTGTGGTAGATCCAGTGGAAAAGAAGATGGAGCTTTGCTCAACTAATGTGAGTAGTGGCTTAAGAAGTTTCTGGTAATTACTTCTGGAAGGTGGATGTTTTGCTCTTAACGTGTAGATTAGAAATGTATCTGTGTCTTTCATTGGAGGCAACAATGTACAGGTCTTAATCAGTGTCTTAGATGAATCTTCTTCCCTTCCCTTTTTCTTTTTCTCCAAATTTAAATACTTAATCATCAAACATTTGTGATTCTGCTTTTAATGTAAGATTAGTTCTTGGAATGCATGTAAAATAGTTTGACTTTTAGATGAATGAGTTCTGTCATTTTCAACAAAAGTTTTAATGTGAAATGCCTTTTTTCATAGAATGTAAATGAAGTATTGTGCTGTATTTTGGTATCCTGGTAACTTGTAACTCTCAAATTTAATGTGGGGTTGTCTGTAGGAGAGCCTTGTTTCTGTACAAGAGGCCTTGTCCTTCCTGAGTATTAATTTTCTGTCTAGTCCAGGTGGTGCTATGGGGGTCTGAAAGAGCCTCTCTTAATCACTGGCAATAAATCAAACTTGACATTCAGAGAAAGCTGTTGGTGCTCTGCCCTGTGAATGGGAAATTTGATATAATTAGATCAAGGATAGGAGATGATGCATCACCCTTTATAGGTCTTTCTATTGACTGTGTTCTGGGTTTTATATTCTGTGTACAGTATTTTGACACTAAATTGAGTATTGAGTAGTGCTGCTGTTAACAGCAAAATGAAAGGTGGGAAGTGAGGATTTCAGCTCTGTTTTTGTTCTTAAGATTACGCTCACAAACTTGGTGTCTGTTGATGAGAGACTGGTTTACACACCTCATCCAGAAAACCCGGAAAAGTAAGTAGGGAAATTTGTGTGTGTCTTTGTGTCTAGGAGACAATTTGTTAGTCCTTTTCAGCTTAGGTGTTAACCTTTCCTTATTCCCTTACAGGACTGTGCTAACCCAGGAAGCAATTATTACTGTTAAAGGCATTAGCTTGAGCAGTTATCTGGAAAGCTTGATGGCAAACACGATATCTTCTAATGCCAGAAAGGTACATCTTTATTCTGTTTTCTCCCTCTCTTCCCCCACCCAGTCACTCTTTTGAAATAGTAATTGTCAATGCTGTGTGTTGAATGTTACACCTAATTTCTCTAGATTTTGTGCACAGTGCTTCAATAGATTTTTTAATAGAAACTCAGAAACCTATTTCTAGGAGTTAGTGCTAGTAGAAAATGTAACTTAACTTCGTCTTTGTAATGTGGATATAATATCAGTTAATACCAGCATATTTTCTGTGCTGCTTTTGTCAGTTGTTCCAGTTCATATCCATTATTGAGCTGTCTCCTTGCCTTTGGCTAAAAGTAATTTAGTGTAAGCAGAAGCATGTTCTTTGAGAAGGTGAGGCTGTGCTGGCTCAGCTGGGTAACGCTGCACTGACTGCTCTGTCCTGTGTTTGCTTTTTCTATTTTACCTGCAGCTGTGGAGCTGCTCTTCAGCACAAGCAGAACTATGGGACTGCTTATTGGGCACTTTGTCCCATAGTTTTTTTGGGGAAGAAATGGAATTGCTAGAGAAGTATAGGCCTTGCTGCTTAACAGGATGAGTGCTGTTAGGAGTTTGGGATTGTGTTCTGCATTGCTGGAGGGGTTCAGCACAGTAGGAATCTGGCCCAGGTAACTCGTACTATGCCATAAATCCTGTGCTTTGGCCACCCCTTCATCCTTGTGAGGGATACACCTTGAACAAGCCAGTGTAAGACAACTTGGTAGGACCAACTAGATTAGAGAGGAGAAAGCCTCCTTTTCCTACCTTTCTGTGTGCTTCTCCTAAGGTGAGTGGAAAACATGTTAAAATCATGGGATGGGGAAGGAGTGATGGATCATTTCAAGACACTGAGGAGTACCTTTACCTAACTGGGTGCCCTCTGTTTGTTTTAAATGGAAGGTATTTCAGTTAAATTACAGTTCTGCTCTGATCCATTTAAAAGTCTGTGTGGAGTGTATATTCTTGAAAGAGAGGAGCAAACCCTGGCTCACAACCAAATTTCAGGCTGATCCAGAGGTAGCATAGCATTGTCTAGTTGGCTGGTGTGCCAGATCAAGTTAGGCACACATTATAATGCTGGCAAAATTCCTCTTGAGGCATCGGTTATTATTTGCATGTCTCTTTTGAAATCAGAGAAACTGTAAATATTTCTTTGTACCTGTTGAGGTGTTGCCTGTGAGAGAGCTCAATTTCTTCTAAAGATTGTTTTGTTCTGCTATTTTCAAGGAACACACTGGCTTACAAGCTTCTTGCAAATCAGAAAGGTCTTCTTGTCCAATGTATTTCACTGAAAAGTCTCTACAGATTTTGAACTTGGCAGGAATTTGTAATTGTTGTTACCAACCCTTTCCTTGCTAACCAGTACCTACTGTGCTACTACTAGCTCTTCTTACATGCTGTGCTGTGTCTCTGTGCTCTCAATCTCCCTCTTAAACTTCATGACAGTTACCAAAAAATGTTTTGTTGTTCTGAAGAAATAGGAATTGAAACTTTGCTCTGAGGTAGCAGTGGCAGGTGATGCATTATTATTTTTAATGACAATGAAAAAATAATTTGCTGTTTGTTGTAAATCTTTTTGTGTTACTCTAGGGGTGGGATGCTATTGAGTGGATAATTCAAAATTCTGAAAGCGCTCTAAGCTAGCAGTTCTCCACACCTGCAGTTTGTACTAAGTAGTGGTAATGCCAGCATTCTTCTTCTTGGTACAGCATTTCAGCTTTCTAGCGAATATCTGCATGGACTGTTGTCGCGTGGATTTCATAAACTACCCTGCATGTCTGTTTTGCACACCTTGCATACAGGAATGGCAGACCTGTTCCTTGCACTGCAGTTGTGGAGGGTGAGCGTAGCCCCGGTCCAGGCTGGATCCATGAACCCGTGCTTGTGCCACTCGGCAGGCAACGTGCTGCAGCCATGCAGCGTGCCACACAGTCTTGCTTATGGCTTGAAAGCTGCAGACAGCTAGGGATGAGAAGGTGTCCCTCCACTGAGTGTTTGATCTGGTCCTAGTTTCTGTGATTTCAGTATATAAGGCCGGTGCCTAAAGAAACTAATAAATTGGCTAGTGGAATTTGCTTTATAAAAATGAAACAGAGCTGTATTCCTAGGATATAAAATTGATATCTCGAAACAGGTTGCCTAACGGGCAATGTTTTGTGTAGCGGAATTGTATTTGCTTTTCTTCTGCCTGAGGAATAATGTTGCTCTTCTGAGGAACTCTGCAAAGCTTGAAGCTGTCAGGATGCCAGACTGTTCCTGTTTTTCATTGGTCTTGTAGTTATATTCATTTTGGTAGTGACATGTCCCTGCAGTTATATAACTATGAACAAATCTGAGTTCAGCGTTGAGAGAATCGAGTGTATTTGCCTCTCTGAGACCTCTGCAGATTGTTCTCCTTCCACTAGTCAGTGTAGCCTGTCCCTGTCATTCCTGTATTGGCTTCTGCTTCAACCAATAAGATTTCTTAAAAAGAAAGAAATCCATTTTGCTGCTTCTCCTAGTTAAGAAAGTTGGGCTTTTTACACTGCTTACTTTGAGACCTGTATATGCCATGAGCGTTTGCTTTTACATTCTCATTCCACTAAGCTTTTATGGCTGTTTTTCTGGAAAACATCAACTACAAAGGCTCAGCACTTATCAGTCATTAAGCTCTACCAACAAATCTTCATATGCAGCGCTTGTTCTGCCAGCCACGTCATGCTGCTGACACCTGCAATACTGAATAACACAACGTGCATGCCTGGGGATGAATGTGCTTGCTTAATGACTGACTGCAGAACTTGTTGTACAGTATGACACTTTATAGATAGTCCTCTGTCAGATTTTTCTGAAAACTGTGTCGTTTATGTGGCACTTGGAAGCTTTGGATCTGGTTGAGATTTCTAACTTAATTTCCTGTGCAGAATGTTCCTGAAGTCTTCCTTGCCAAAATCATGAGTTTATTCTTAGCTGCAAAATATGGCATATAGTGTATGCAAGTCTAAGGAGCTATACACAGACTTATGTACTCTCAAAAACTGGAGGAAATATCTTGGTATGCCAGTTGAATGTCATGGATTTTTAAAAATAATTTATCTCATCCACAAAGATACCAAGTAAAACACAGTGATGTGATTGTTTCAAGTCAGGGCTTGAAAAGAATCTGTGTTTTTCTACTGAGTGTTTTCCATGGCCATGATGTTTGACCTTCTGACAAGTCTTTGAACAATATAACAAATGTAACATCCAAGCTGTTGCTGTCTCAGTTCTGTGTACCTGTGTCACCTCAGACAGGATATTTAGACTTGACTTTTAAAGGTCCAAATACCTGCTTACTGAAAGATGATTCCCCTTCCCTGCCCCCACTTTTTCCTTAGTGAGCACTCATCTCAGTTAATTCGCAGCTGGTTACAACTTGTTGCTGTGCAGGAGCTTGCCCATGTGTAGGTGCTTTTATTTGTGCTTTGCTGGCATTCCCAGGTCTTGCACAGTCTGTGGAGAAGTTGGGAATTACTCCCTGCTGAAGAACCGTCACTTGGTGCTCAAATGGAAGGAGCTCAGAAGTTAAATCTTTGCTTCTAAGATCTTCTATCAGCAACCTATACTTAAAGTGGACAATTTCTTGAATATTATTATTATCATGTTTTAAAGGCATCTCTTGAACTAGTTAACTTAAACATCCTAGTTCTTGAGGTATTTTGGGGTGGCGCTTAATCTCCCTTTCTGAGACTTGACTAAAGCTGAACACTTTATTGTGACACCTGGATGACTTTTATCAGTTTAAGGACTACCTGCCAGTGCAGAAGTAGCAATTAGTGTTTATTCTGTGAGTCCCTGGAATATGGAAAACCCAAAGAGAAACTGAGTCAGCCCTTCACTGACCTTAGTGAGTCATCTCAAGAGAGTCTTGAGATAACTGTGCTCCTATTTACAGTAAAACTTTTTTTATTTTAATAGGTTGCACTTTGCCCTCTGGATCTGGTCTTATCATATTATTCCAGAATGATGTTTGTAGCCTGGCAGAAAAATCCTTGAAGTGTGTATGAGCTTTCTTCTGACATTCTTTTTTCCTTAGGTTTTTAAAGATGCTTATGCAGATTCTTGTTCATGCTTAGTAGTCTGTAAAGGACAACAGCAGGTTCTGGACACTGTGATGTTTCTGTGCACTTTATTTTAATGAATACAACTAAAGTTGCTCATCACAGTTTGGAACAAAACTCTCTGTGCAGAGGAGGCCTTGCTTGTCCTTTCTTCAGTGTCTACAGAAGGTTTAAACGCTGACAGTGGCTGTCCTGAACTTTTATGACTTTTTGGGCTCAACCTTTATCTCCAGAATTCTAAACTTGGCCAGAGCCACGTGGCTCCCACTTACTGCTCTCCACTGTTTATATTTCTTATTCTTAGTAGAGTAATAGAGGTGAATATCTCTTGACTTCTCTCTTAGTGAAAAAAGGCCAGGTGTTCTCCTGGTCTGATCCCATCTGCTTGCTTTGACAAAAGCTGCTATTCTGAGCTTGCAGAGTTATAAAATCTTGACTTTTGTTTAGTTAAAGTCTTTCTTGACTTCATTGTGCCACTGGCTGCATCTTATGGTCATTAGAGTGCAGCTGCTACAGAGTCTTCTTCAGGTAAAAGATTTTAGCCAGGCTTATTCCCCCGGGTTCTCCAGCCCTTACTGAAGCACTGGCTAGTGCTTGAGACGTTCCCATACCTTGATATAAAATGTGCAACTCTCAACTAGTCTGATTTAGCTGCTGAAAAGTTGCTGTGTACAAATGTAGAATACAGTGTGAGTCCACTTCTGAACTCTTGATAAGTATCAGATCACTTAGCTGCTACTTTAAAGAGCACTGGAAGACTTTCATTGTCCTGGATCTTCTCAAAAACTCTCTATATAACTTGGCTAATAAAGCTGAGAACAGTACCTGGATTTTGCCATAATATTCTTTGGGTGGTGGGAGCAGTAATCATCAAAACAAGCAATTCTCTTAGCTAAGGAAACTTGACTGCTGAATTAGGCCTTGTGCTACTGGGAGCTCACACCAGCATTGCATTTTTTTCTGGCTTAGGGGTGAAGCAAATGCCGTTGCAGCGAAGTTTCCACAAGAAGATGCTAAGAAATTGTCAATATAATCTGGTATCTAACTATACAGGGCATGGCATTGATTTTAAAACAAGCTTCATGTCTGACAGAGGAAGAACTATAGAAACATGAGCAGTGGTGTTGTGTGTGTTCTGATCCTAAATTCTGGTATTTTTCTGGCAGGGTCGGGATGCCCTGGAATGGGTGATCAGCAAACTAAACACAGAACTAGAAGAGCTGAAGTCCACACGCGAGGGGATCAAACCAGCCATGGCAGCAGCGGCCACGGAAAAATAAAAACAAAAATTTGGGTTCACCAAATGAAACAAAGTAACTGACAAAAAAGTCTTATTCTGCAGACTGCTCTGTAGAGCTCCCTCCCAAGGCTGATCTGCAGAGGTTTTATCCATTTTTAAGAATACCGGATCAGTGGAAGAGAACCTCATCCATCATCTCCACAGCAGCTCTTGTTACCTACTGAAGTTTAAACTGACCTCCTGCAGATGCTCTTTTCATATGAACAATTTATGTTTAACACTGGAAACAAAACATTTAGCACATTCAAAACAGCCTAAATGTACCTTTTCAAACAAAGGTAGAGGGCATGTTATATTTACACCATCTCAAACTGAAAAGCTTCAAACAAACTTTTGCGTGGGATTAAGGTTTTTCTGTGTGAACTTCTATTCTGTAAAGGGCTGATAGGTCCTAGAGCACTGAATTTTGTCTGGTTTGTAATCTGATAATGTCTTATGGACAGTTAAAGGGGAACTACATGAGTCAGAACATGATACTGTAGAATCTGATATTTATCTAGAGGATCATCTTGAAAGGCTACATCTTGTGTGGAACTAACTCTTCTTAGGTTGTTTGAACGTGCTGCCTGAAGATGACACACAGATACTTTACCTCTTAGATGTTTGTATCCAAACAAGGATAAAGTTTCTATTGATGTTAATAGCCTAAAATAGTTTTTCTGGTGGGGAGAAGGGTATAATTTATTTTCTTATTTATTAATTTGTCCTAGTTCCTCCCTTCCCTATGTGGACAGGGGTAGTGATTACTAGAAGGTGCTGGAAAATAATTATCTCTAAGAAGGGCATTTGTAGGCTGCTGGAATAAAGAGACCATGCTGTTCTACTGGTCCTTGCTCTTCACATCACATCTTAACTGAGGGAAAAATTGATGCAATAACCAGAAGAATTGAAATGAGAAATGAGCAGAAAATTTTAAATCCAAATGATAAGGTTTCATAAAGAGAAACTTTTAATTTGCTGAATGGAGAAAACAAGAGTACAAGAATCACAAATGGACTCTCCTTTCTAAATGCTTTCTGTTAACTACTGACTATCAGTGTAACTGAACCTTTTCAACTCTTTTCCACGTGGGTACAAAATGGTTTTAAACTCCTTTGAAATGCTTCTCATTATCTGGAAAAATACTCCAATAACTGCAGAAACTTTCCTATTAAGTATGCATAAATATATATTGGTAATAACTCTAGCATTGTCTGATGTTTACAAAATTGTCCTGTTTGGTCCAGATGTAGTATATGTTTCTCTGACAGAACCTCTGTTAGGGCATTTAAACTTATTTTTTGGTGTGCACACAAAGTGAGACAAATGTTGCAAGGATGCTTACTTGTTTAAGTGGCAAGTGTGTGCTCAGGAAGCTGTTAAAGAGCATGAGTAACTTTTAAAAAAACAGAAGACTAAAATGTTGGTTGCTGTTTTGAGCTGATGATTTTAAAATGTTTGTAGCTTAAGGGAGTTTTCAGTATTCATATTCTGGTTAGTTTGAAAGTAAACTTTATTTGGGTGTAACTAAATTACATGATCCTAATGAATAAACCTACTTTAAAAAGTATGTCTATTAGTTGAGAGCAATTAAATGAATAGCAGATATTTACATTGCTCTTTTTATGTGGACCTAAAGCCCTTCCTATTTTGGAACAGAAACAGAGCTCAAAGCAGCCCATGTCTGGAAGGTAAGATGGATGGCTTTGGTGCAGGTCAGTTGTCCTCCTTTTCAGGAGTGATGCCACTTCCTGGATGAGGAACAGAGATGTTCTAGCTCTTGGTCTTGTTCTGCTAGGCAGAGGAGTGCAGCTATGGCAGAGCTCTGCACAAAAAGAGGGAAAAGTTGGTGGCGTGTGTACATTTGAAAACCTGTGCTGCAGCATTTCCATACATGCCTGCTGGAGGAATGAAAACACGAGTGTCAGCAGGGGTAGGAAAGCCTTTGGAGAGGTTCATTGATTGCTTAAGTATGGGAGAAGAGTTGTCTAAAGCTTCTCCTTGCATCAGAAATGAAATATTTACTTAGTGTTGTCTTATGGCTGGCTGACTTGTGCATTGCATTCCAGCGCTTCAGCGCTGGCTTCCACAAAAGTCGCCACAGGCTCTCTGGAGCTGAAATCCTCTGCCACACCCTCAGGTCAGCACCAATTACACATCAAGTTCCTGTATTACTTTCTTGACACTTTGTTTCCTTGCAGATAATCCCTATCTGCTTCTGTTGCAGCATCTCCTTTCTATTTTGTTCCTGGTTTTGGGCTGCTTTCACTCCACCCCTACTTAGGAAGTATGTGGCTAAATGCTCGGTTTTCCAATCTGCTGCTCCACTTGCCACCCATCAGCACCTTTCTTACTTGTGTCAGTCCTCAGTGCTTCTAACCATGTTGATTAATAGGCAGCAAGTGCCATCTTGAGAAATAATTCTGCATTTTGAGAGCTTAAAGTGGAACCGAAGTTGGGTTTTGTGAGTTGTGAGAGGGAGGTTGCAGCAGTTCAAGCTGCAGTTTGGTGTTTCTCAGTTGCTGGGTTGCAATTCAAGGGTGTGATATAGGGAGATGGTTGGATTTTAAGAATTTGGTGCCAGCACATCAGGTCTCCACGCTTAATAGAAGTGTGGCTGCTCTCCCCATCCCTACAGCTGCATCACACGTGCCTGCTGTGGAAGGAAGAAGCTGGGAAAAGCTGATTCCTCACTGCAGGGGAAGCAGTGAGGAAAGACAGCAGCAGTGGTTCCCAGAGTGTGGCAAACTTGGCACATTTGTTCTTGGCCCTGAAGGATCTTAAGATGTTGAAGATGCCACACTCCAAATAGACTGGCTTCTGGTTGATGTCTAGTTTTTGTGCTGATGCAGGTTCATGTTAGCAACAAAAGTATTAACTTAAAACATAAGTAAGTGTAGTCAAATGGTCTGGTGTGTGTCTTCCATGCTCCTCCATGCTTCTTATTTCTTTTCCTCATCAGGTCAGCAGACATGCTGGAGGAGGGTTATATTTGTTGGGACAAAAGGCAATCCTAGTGGAAGCTCCCATATTCTTGAAAGTTTGGCTTAAAGTAAGAAAAGGCATTGAGCTGCAGCAGGTGGTGTCAGGAAGTGCTGCAGAGCACAAACTGGGCACTGATGTACTGACGATGTAATAACCTAGCAGTGAGTGAATGACCAGCCATGCTCCTTGGTGAGAAACTTTTCATTCAAATCCTCAGGTGGAGCAGTGGTGTGGTAGGCAACACCACTCCTGCTGCTGCACCTCCCTAGACTGAGATCTGTGAAGGCCAGGGCTGTAAAGTGTCTATGTATCCTGTGGTGCTATCCAAAATAAATGCCATGTGCAGTTTAAAAAAACACTTCTGGGTGCGACTGGTAATATTTAATGCACTGTTGATTTTCTGAGAAAACTGCAGAAAACCATTAGTCTGTGCTGGGTAGGCAGCAGGATCCAGTACCAGTCTCCCTGGAGCTTGCTGTAAGCCACACACTGCTCAAAAGCTCTGCAGGGGTCCTCTGGGCCTGGACTGGTAACTGCATTTGGGACTCACAGCTGCTTCATTTTGCATTAGAACAGGAAAGACTCATCTAAAATTACTAGCCTTGACTTGTAAATAAGACCTTATTTATCTAATAAACTACCTTTTCACCCCACCAACACTACTTGCCACCTGTCAGAATCATACAGATTATGGGCTAAGCCTTTTAACGGCAGCTCCAAGGAAGCAGGTCATGCGTTCACTATGGATTTGTTCAGTGAGAAGGGATTTCTGTGAAACACAAGTCCTGTCCTTTTAATTTTTCCACTACTGAGGTGACTGAGGTATGATTCTCATTTTACTGGAAGGCACCCACAAGTGAAATCAGTAAGGGCCCCTAATGTGGGGCCCTGCTGGTACAATACCTTCTCTTTTACTTTGCTATAATTTTACTTCTGACCTTGCTAAAGATCAGAGCTCTGCTTGGCCAAACAAATGTGGCACATAGCCTCACCAGCTGTGCTCTGTAGGAAATGGTGCCCATGGTCTTTTCATTTCCCTCAAGAAAGTGAGATCAATGCAGTAATTTTAAAGAGCTTTTAATTAATAACGCATGAACAAGGAATTGCATTTCAGTACCACATAACATGGAAACAAGCAGAAGACAATTCTGTGGCCTTTTGCTGTTAGAGCTGATGCCCCTGGTGTCCCTGAAGATGCGCAGACCATACATGCACAGTGACAGCACAGAAGCAGGGGAAGCTCGAAGGGGAAGGGTTTGTGCTTTAGGCCTGTTCACGTCCAAAAAGTGCACCTCCTGTTTGGGAATTTTTTTTTCTTTATTAAAGAAGGGTGTGAGGGAGACGGAACCAACTTTAAAGGAAATACAGCTCAAAACCCCTTCTCATTATCTTCCTTTTGCTTTTGATTCACAGGTAGTGAAAACACCAGCCCTTCAATGGGAACATGCCCTCCTTAAATGTCTCAGCTGAAGCTGGGCCTTGGGCTCTGTCTCTCCTGAAAGCTGAGCCCTGAGAGTGCTGCCTCTCTAGAGATCTGTGCCAGCTGAACTGGTGCTTATTTCAACCAAAATTTGGGAGCCCGCCTCCTGCAGAACTTACAACAACTCAAGTTCATGTCCTTTCATTCTAAATTTAGCAGATTTCTGAACCCAGATTTCTGAAATCCAGTTTAAAAAAATCCCATGCTGCACTGCCTGGCCCAGGGCCCGTCTTGCAAAACCCAAAGCATGTTGGCTCCCTTTTCTAAGCACTGGCGTCTGTCACTGGTTAGAGAAATGCAGAGAGGACCTGAAGCTTAGTGGAAGCACCTTCAGCTGCATCGGTGGGACCAAGAATATTTTTTTCATACTGAGTGCTCTTATGGGTTGTTTTTTTTTTAAATCAAATATATCAATAATCTAACAGGTCCTTTTCAGCTGTCAGTTTACAGTAACAGTCTGGTACCTTAAAGACCATCTGCTTACAAGTGTATTTTCAAATTAGCTATAGTAAGGCCTGTTCTGAAGGGTCTGTTCCAAAGGGTTGATCCAAACATCTAGAAGTGTTCTACACACCCCATCTTGCTGCCCTCTGCATACGGCAGCAGCTCCCGTTACCTCAGGACACAGTGCCTGGGCTACTCTCATCTGACACTCGGTTCAGCCAGGCACTGCCACTGCAAAATAGCCTGACCAGGGAACAAACTGGGACGTTACTGAATTGATTTATTGCAAATAAACAAACTAAGCTACTACTGCATAAAATTTGATGCCTGTTTAGCTCCATCTCCTGATTACGCCCCATGACATTTGTTGAGTGCAGACCTACCATAGAAAAATTCATTCACAAGTCTTTGCTTGTCAGAATATTGGCAAGTTTCACCTCTCTGGAATTCGTTTCACCTGGAAATAGGGCTAATTGTTTTCACATACTGAAAGCAGATGGGAACTTGGACTGCAGGATCCTTTCAGTCTGACATTGAGCACTCGGCTCTTCAGCAGCAGCTCTCAAAATTCTTTAAACAGTTTGCAACCACTTTGAAGTGTCTTTTTGCAGCTGGGGACTCTGGGACACAGAGCAGTTCACAGCTTGTGCCAGGGCAGCTGAGCAGCGTGGGCAGCTCTGGGAGTTTTCCATGTCAAGGTGAGGGAACAGGGAAGGCCCCAGGCTGCCTCTGCTCTGTGCCACTCAGCACAGGGGTTCTGTGCTCTGTGTATCACATCAGGCTGAGCTAATGTCATGGCTCTCCTACAAGGTAGTTCTGGGGAATAGTAATTTCAGGTACCCAAAAAATCTGAAACACAGAAGTAAAAATCAGACAGAAAGAACAAAAGAGGTTTCTATAGCTGGAATTGGAATTCATAAACATTCTCAGACTGGCCTTAAGATACACATATACAAAAGAAGAAATAAACCAGACCAGCTCCAAGTTATCAACATGGCAAGAGGATAAAATTTTCTAATAACATGAACGTAATCCATGTGCTGTAGCACCAGAGTGTAGAGTTGCAACACCTTTCTCTCATGCCTGTGTGGTGTCACCGTTTCACAGATGAGACTGAGCTGTAAGACAGATATTCCTAAGAGTTGTGCAGTGCTGCTAGAAGAAGTAAAGCAGGAAGGTAGCAATCAGCAGTTTAAAGCTGGAGGTTCTAAATAAGTTTTAACCTATAGAGCATGCAGCCAGTAATGAACCAGGGAAGCTAATGCTGAACTAGACTGGGGAATGTAAGAGTGTCAGAATTTCTCTTCCAATGATGAGGAAGGGATGGAGATTTCCCAAAGCCTGTATTACACGCAGGACAAATGTGCTGCCTCGGGTACAGCCTGCCAGTGTTGGAAGAAGCAGCACACTAGTAGCAGAGGGAGTTGTCTGCAGATGATGACAAGGAGCTAATCACATCACTGAGGTTACACAAGCAGTTTTTATTGCTGTTCTAAAGGTACTTCGACAGGTTTTCATCCTTCATGCAGCCCAGCCAGTGTTCAGCTGTTATGCAATCATTTTTGTTAACAATTCTTAGCCAAAAGAAACATCTGACTGATCTTAGAAAACTATAAAAGCATGAAAAAGAGAGATACAGAACCTTTAAATCAGCTTTCCCATGAATAATTAACACAGACAAGGGTTATAATGGAAAGGTATTTTATTTTTACCAGGTAACACCCCTCCCTGTATAAAGGAAGTAATGGAGAAAGGGAAAAATAACCCAACAACTCCTCAAAACACTACTGTCACCATGAACACTTGAAAGATCAGGTCTGAGAGCTGCAGCAAAAGCCTGCTCACATATTCCATCACTGCCATGAGGCAGAGCTGGTTTTGCATTCCCCACAACCAGATTCACATACAAAACAAGACTGATGCTGCCAGAGGCATTTTTAGCTCCTTGGGTCTCCTATGATATATTTTAACAAACCTTGGGCATACTAATAAAACTAAAAAAAACAGAAGAAAATAATTTTAAAATTTGTGGAACGGAGTTCACTGTGCTAGTGCTGCATTCTTTTCAGCAGTAATTCACTCTAAGATGTGCAAACTGTATTAGGGGGCTGAAAGCGTTAACTCTAATAAAAGGTAACAGCCAACACACATATAAATAAGACTCATTTCCTTTTTAAAACATCATGGGAAAATCAATTCCCATTGCATGATTGATGGAGACTTCCTAAATATTAATAAATATATTACAGATATTTACAAGCTTCTGATTTCCCCCTCCTACGCTGACGTGAAGTTCAGCCTGTAACTAGGACATGCAGGGCAGCACCACGGGGTGCTGGGCCAATGGCTGCAGTGGATTTGGGATGCTGGTGCAGGCAGGGAGGAGATGGAGAGCTAAAAATAGCCCCCTCTGCAGAGCCAGGCAACCAGCGAGCTGAGCTCCTTCAGGCTTCCTGCGACGGACCAACCAACCCGCTGCTTCTCCGCTTGTGGAATGAAATGCCGGGATGATGCGGAGCAACCGTGCCAGGGAGGAAGGGATAGAGCGAAGGGGAGAGGCAGCCCTCCACAGCGTGTCTTCTGGAGCCTGCCACAGCATGTGTCAGCAGCTTGGAGGGTTTTTCCCAGTGAAAAAGGAAGGTTATCCAGACCCTGGCCCATGGCAGCTCTGTGTGAGCAACAAGGAGCCATCTGTACAGCCACTGCATTGTTTTTCAGTGTTTGTGCCCTGCCCAGCACAGCAGAGCCTGTCCTGAGCCAAGGACTTGTGGAAATTCTGGGAAGGCACAGGCTGGATCACAAGGCTCTGCCACTGCCCCAGAGCCACCCCAGACACTGCCAGAGTGGAACATGGCACAGGCATGAAAGACTTGTTTCCCTTCGCACGCTCAGGAGTTACTTAGTCCTTCATCCTGCCTGCTCTACAACATCCCAAATCCCTCTCCAAGAGGAAAATAAATGTGCTGGATGCCCTACACCTCGGTGGCTTGAGGACACCAGGGAAGCAGACTGTGAGCAGAGGACTGTGAAACTGTAACATGGCTGGGGCATCTCCATGAAAAATTGTGACAACAACAGGGCAGATGCAAAGTGAGATTTCCTGCATTTGTTTCTATCTGGTTCCCCGGTGCACTGTGCAGCAAACACGCGGCCTGGTTTTGGCACAGAAACAAGAAAAAGTGCTGATATGACTGAGATCAGGCAACCCTTCCAGCAGCAGCAGAATCTTGCCCACCAGCCAGCCTGTGCTACTCCCCTGCAATCCTACATCCCTATCCCATGCCAGTACTCCAGGTGCCTTAACATGCAAGACACTTTTCCAGAGATACCATGAGGACAGGGCTGTGACACATGACCTTAAATGGGACAGCAAGGAGAGAGAGTTAGCACTGAGCCCTGCTTTTCCTGTTTGCATTGGTTCAGAAAAAAATATAAACTATTTCAATAAGCCCTACATATGCAAAAATTCTCATTTTCCAAGGGAGCTTTTAAGAAAAAAATAAGGATGGCTGACTCCCTGGAAAGGTTTACAGAGACTTTTGCATGTGCTTTTCAAATCAGCCTGAAAGAGCCGATATGGATGGCTGCTCCAAAGGCTGCCAAATGGGAGCCAAGCAGCCCTGGTGCCTCCCAGCCTGGGCACTGTGCCTTGCCAGGGCAGAGGGGCATTTGTCTCTTGGGCTTTTTGGACAGAGGAAGATGTTTTGTTTAATACATCTTTAAAATTATATTATGGAAGTCCAGTCCCAGCTACTTTGGAGCAGTTCTGAGGTATCTCTCATTAACTTGAAGAATAGAAATGTTAATAAATAGATCTGAAACTTTTCTGCTATCTCATTCTATAATACACTGCTATATAGATATTAAATATGCCTCAGGGTATTAAAAAATTCATGAAAAAAGTTACAGTAGTTGATTTTCAAGTATTAATAACTTGGCTATGTTAGCTTGTTTTTAAATACCAAAAAGATCTGGCCCAAATTATTGACTAAACTCTGGCTATGACTGAATTAAAAAAAGAAAAGTATTTTGAATATTAAAAAAAGTGCAAAAAAGCATGAGATGTTAGTTAGCATTGTAAAATAGTTGGAACTTCTAAACAATTAGCCTAGCACTCCCTTGTGAGTGAATTAAAAAGGGTGAAAGAATGAAAAAAAGATTAAAGGGAAAATGGAGATTGCTCCCAATCTGAGAGAGCACTGTCCCGAATTTCAGCAGAACACGAATTTTTACAGCCAAGTTATAAACCCCAGAAAAAATGGGGTTACTAGTGGATATGCTGCCAGACAGAACTATAGCAGTATCTGTGTGCTCCATTATAATACAAATTTACACCTTCCTCACTGCTTTCTCTGAGTAACCACAAGAAGAATTTTACAGGTATTCAGTTAAAATTAGAAGCCTCCCTTATTTCCCATCCTCCCCATAAACTGTACAACTTTGTCTACTACGAAAATTCACTGCTACTAGTAGTCATTATCATACATTCAAGATAGAAAGTAAACTACTAAAAACCTGCTCAGGAGTCACTCAGAAGGACACTAAGGCTTAAGAAGTACAGCAGCTCAGGGGTATGGCCGACCACACGGGCGAAGAGCTTTGTCACCTGCTTTGCCCCAGGACACTGCCACTCTAGAGTCCTGTGCTGAACCCTGATCTCAGAGCAACCAACATGGCTCAAAGGAAGATGGATTGGCTCACGCTGGGTGCCTGCTGTGCGACGCAGCCCTTGGCTGCCTCAATGACGGCATGAGCACTCCGAGGGTGGGAATGCAGCAGGACCTACTGTTTGCTAGTGTGCTAACGCTGACACTGTTCTAGGTCTGGTTCTCCATCAGACACCTGATCTCAGCTCATCTCCTGAAAAATGATTCAAAGCATGGTTAAAAACAGATGGAAAGCGAGAAAACGCTTTCTCATTTCAACGCATGTGTACAAAAGAGGCAACCATTTCAAACTATCGATTTTCTCCCAGTGGGAGCAGCTGACCCGTTGTGTATCGCCCCGCACAGATCCACACACAGCGCTCTGTGTCTCTGGGAGCTGCTGGAGTAGGAAATCCTGTGATCGAACGCAAAGCCAAGCCAGTCAAGTGGAACGAAGCAACGGGGTGACAATCTGGATCCAGTGACCTCGCTGATGGATGATGACTTCATGGAGATGAAGCAAAGCAGAAGGCACATGGCTCAGATCTCATTGATCGTCCTTTCCGAGGGGCAGTACTCCGAGGTTCCTGCTGAGGACATGTAGAAGGACTGCGTTTTCCTTTTTAACCTGGCTCGCTTGTTGGCCAGAGACAGGCTGCGCCGGCTTGAGTTGATGATTTCTGAGATGAACTTCTTGCAGTCCACACAAACCTCCATAGTGCTCCAGTCCTCCATTAATTCTTTGGGAAACTCTTCGTGTGACTTATCCACAGACTTGGACCTTGAGGTCAATCTGAAAGGTAAAAGAGCAGGATCTGTCATGCTATTTGTCAACTTGGCTGTAGTACCCAAGAAAAATCCCATCAGAAACGTCTGGATTTAAATTTTCCTTTGTCCTGTCCCAAATTACTCCAAACACTGGAGTGGGCAGCTTCTGCCTGGATTGGCAAGATTGCGGGGTCACTGACTGAGGGCGTGTGTAACATTTACATCCTGGCATAAACAACCCAACTAGTAAATAAAAATAGCTGATGTCTCTGGCTAATCTACACAGCACCATAGCAATGGTGATCTATGCAGAGGGTTTATGCAGCAGATTCCCTCAAAAAGGAGCATTTATTTTATATCTAATTTCTTGAATTAGCTTTGACAACCCTCTGTGTATAAGGTATAAAACCAACAGATAAATTCATAATATTAAAGTGGAAAAATTATGAAAATTGGAGTAAGAAACATTAGGGGGAAAGAAGATAAATCTGTGCACTAGACATTACTGAATTCCCATTCAGTGGGTGATTTCAGTCTGTAAGATTTATCTCCACAGAGTCCATTCACACTAGAAAAAGACATGTTAAGAATATTTTCTCCTAGAGGTCCTACAGAAATACAGTTGTCCCAGACTCTCATTATTTTTTGACTGTAATGTGAAAAAGGTTTAAGACACTGTTAGGACACTGTTAGGCTTTAGGAAAGTTACTACAGGCATTAAAAACATGGCCAACTACAAAACAGGTGATTAGCATCTTCACGATTGATAGCCCAGCTTGAAACATTTGGGGAACATCTGCAACAGACACAAGTGGGGCCAGGGTGTCTCTCACCTGCTCCGCAGGGAATGGTGGTGACTGGTAGAGGGTTTCTCTGGCCTCATGAAGCTTTCTCCCCTTTGCAAGGTTGAAGGTCCCAGGGAGAAGATGGGGAGGGTGGAGTATGGCTTTGATGGCAGCCGCATCTGTTGGCAACAGCACAAAGCACGTGCAGCATCATTACAAAGATTGCGGCTTTTCAGAAAAGCTTGAAACATAAGTTTCCTTACTTACTTTTTTGCAACACTGTGAGCATACAGGCCTGTGTAAAAAAACAAGAGCATGAATCAATCCATTGGGAAAAATTATGTTTAAATCAAGAATAAGAGATTTCAGGAGTTAGAAGCCTGCCCCCTTCCATCCTCCCCTTAAATAAACTTTTGATTTTAAAGCTTCTTTGAAGAAGTAAATTAACATAGTAACTTCAATCAGAACATGATGCAGAAGCAAGGAGAAATGCAGAACAAGAATGGCACCTAAATTAAAACAACAGGGGAAAAAAAAGAAAAGTAAGCTGGTTTTCCTCTAAAGAAACCTCTTCTGGTGAGACCAAAACTCAGTGATTACATAGATCTTCTCATTTATTGTCTCACTGTTAACTTGAAATTTATCATTTTGCCTGCAAATATTCCTTCTTGCATTTCCCCTGCCCCAATACTCAAAAAAATTGCCCAAAAAGTAAATTGCCTTGAAATGTTTTCCCCAAACTCAGAGGTTGTAGAAGGTTGTTGAGTGGGGAGCCTGAGTAAATTCCATGTTGCTTTCTCATAAGTATAAAAAAAAAAAAACAAAACATTTTTCTCATTTTAGTCAAGAGTTTCACTCCAAGGAAGCAATTCAGTCACTTACAAATGAAATGTTTCTGCATACTTTTTTTTTAACACAGACTGTTACAGAAATAGACCCAACCAACAGTAAGGAGCAGAAATTTTTGAGGGTTTCTAATGTATAAATTAATCATTTTCCCTATGAAATTGTACTCATTTGTTAACAGACGTAAAATATTTACCTCTTGCAGAACTGACAAGTGTAAGACCAGGTAAAGAAAGAAAACCTTCTTGTTCGACAGCAAAAGCAGAGCTAGAGGAAGAAGAACAGAGGAATCCACATTGTTAAGCAAAGTCCCACACAGTGATGACTTCACTGACCAGTTGCTGTTGGCAAGGTCACAGTGGCAGTGCTACATCCAGTTCTGGGGCCTGTGCTTCTAAGATGATATTGAGAAAAAGGTCCAGCACTGTATCTTCATATATTCAGAACTAAGCCTTTAATTGTTTTGCCTAAATTAAATACTTGCTCATTAACTAGATAACTTTGGCTAGAAATAAAAGCAAACAATTTTAATAGTGGGGTAAATTAATTAAATCCTCAACCTACCTTGAGATTTGATAAAAGCTCATTACTAAGCTTTATATATCATGACAACAGGCAACAGCTGAATCTAATGAATGATATTATAAGATTCTTGTTCCTCTGCCTTGAATGTATTAAACCTTTAAAATAAATCTGCACACTAGACACAGTTAGGCCTGTAGAAGAAATACACAGTGAAGTCAAAATAGGCTTTCTGGAGGTGTCCAAGAAGCATAAATTAAAAGTGGGAGAAAAGGATCCTGCTTCTACTGGGAAGTACCAATCTCCAATCTGCAATTTGCAGAAAAATGTATTAGTTAAAGGGTCTCTAAAATTAAACCTCCTTCTGGTAGCATAATTTCTCTGAAGGCTTTCATTCCCTCTGTGCTAGATAGTAAGGGTTCATATACAATGAACTTGTAGTTTTCTGTTGCTACCTGTAATTCTATTTTCTGGAATAGAAAAGGTAACCAAACCTGCAGAAGGCATGGGGACAGAAATCACCTCAGTCAACAAAGCTCAAACCAGACACATACAGATACACTCTGATAATTGTAAATGCTACTACATTTTTATAGGCAACCTTAACAAACAAGGTGCTTCCATGAAATGTTTTGATGTTTCTGGACATCATTCGAGGAAGTTGACCTTTGTGTCACACATGTAAGGGTATGTTTGGTAGATGACTCTTCTTTCTCTCCAATAGAGGGTAAGAAACAATGTGTAAATGGGAGGCTTGTGCAACTGGCCTCCCTCAGTACCCTTCAGAGCCTCGCCAGACTCAGCCCTACCTTTCCTTTCTTGAGAGCAGTGTAGACATCTTTATATTGCTGGTACTTCTCCAGCTCCGCCTTCACGAGCACCTGACGGATGTGCATGACCTCCTCCACTGTCAGAGCCAGACATTCCACAGGGTAACAGAACTCCTCCTGGAAGCCAAAAGCCCCACATTATTTCAGAGACAAATGGCTTCTCCAGAGTTCAATCACGAAAACCAGCCACCTGGTTAGTAACTCCAGAAACAGGGAGTTTCTCCCATCAAACTGGAATAGCACTGGCTCATTCATGGGCATCACATGAGTGCCAAACCATTGGAAGCTGCATAAATATGATGTAAATGATCTTACGTTCAGCCTTCACAACGATGACAGTTTTTTTCATCTTTCCTCCTCAAATCACTTGACCCTTCTCTCCATTTTCTTTTATTGCAAACATTTGTTTCAAGCCAATCAACATTCAGATTTATAATTTGAAAGGGAAAATGTCATATGGTAGATGGCATTGTTTTATGCATACTGTTTGAGGTATACATAAATAATTTCTCTGAGACTTTGTGATGCCCAGAGTGGCCAAGGAAAGTTGTTAGTAGCCCATTCTAGCAAAAATTTTTATTCAGTGGTACCGCATCTTGGTGTTCACACCAAGACTACAAAAAGTTACATCAGCTCAGGCAGAAAAGTTCTCCTTTCAGCCCCAGAAATTTAAGCAGCAATTTAAGCTTTACAGAATAATGTCCCAGTATCAAGCATGTGAACTGGTTACCCAGTGTTGCATTATAAATGGTAGAGACTCAAATAAAAAATTAACAGCACAACTTTCCACTTAAAAAAATTTCCATCTGTTCTGTGTTGCAGCATTTAGGAGAATATTGAGTGCAGAACTCCTGAATTTGGTACCACGGAATAAAAAGCACCAACCCAATTTGTAATCCAGCCCAGTAGTTGATTATACATTTCCAAAAGAAAGACAGAAACCTCTGTGGGAACTCCCATTGCTTAATGCTTAGTGAACCTTTTCAGTCAGCCCAGAGGGGCTACTGTGCAGTAATGACAATGACAGGCAATGCTCTCTGAATAAATGAAGGAAATTTCTCCTGCATACACAAAGACGTGGCTGACAGTTTGGAGATCTCGTTTACAAATTGAAGTGATGAATCGGATTAGTACGGAAATGCTCCATTTCCATGTACTCAGAGTTCTGTCTTTCCATCAGATTAGAAAGAAAATCCTTCTACATTGCAGACCTGGCAAACATTAGCATTTAGGAACCACCACATTTTTAAAAACTGTTGTCTTACCTATCTAGAAAGGGAACACAAAGAAACTTCACTCTGTTTAGGGTACCCCACAAAAGACTAGAATTGAGTTAACTTTGTTAGATTTGCCAGCTAAATCTTTGGGGTAGGGAAAACTAGTTTTCTGGAAAAAACAAACTACATCAAAAGCAGCTGCAATTTGCTCTGAGGTGTAAAACTGCACAGCCAAAACAAAGTATCTTCTGTTCCTTATGAGCAACTTTACAGCTAACCAGCAGCTCTCAGCATTTTGTTCTGGGTTCTTCCCACAGCAAGTGCCTTGCTCTGGGGAAGGCACGGTTGAAGGCTGGGGTGGCACGAGAGGAAGTGGGTGGGAAAGCGGGATGCACACAATGCCAGCAAAAACCCCCGAGTCTGCATTGTGGGAGACTGAGGGAAACTATCCGAGGTGAATGAGGCTGAATGCTTGCAATCAACCAGAGCTTTAAGTCCTTTAGAAATACATTTCTTACTTGAAGCTCTTCCTTCCCCCTCATGAACGCCCATTCCTTTAATTTACAGAACGATGACGTCGGGGAATATTGCTCCTTTGAAGAAATTCTGCAGATCTGCTATAGGTGTAGAGCACGTACTAGGGGAATAGTGTGGGCCTGTTGTCGTACCAATCGAAAATGAATACCATTAAAATAGAAATAGCCATCAGGCAGCAGGGGAAACAGAAAATATTCACATGTTTAAATGCTAATGTTTTAATTCCAGTGGTTACACAAGGACAACAAAATGTTAATGCAACATTAAATGAAAGATAAATAATCAGTTTTCAGAAAACTGCTTGGGTTTTTTTTTTTCCCTTTTCAGAATATAAATAAGTACACAAGAAAATATTTTTTTCTACACTACCTCTAAGGCATTGAAATTAATTAAATTTTGCTAAGCACTGGCTAAACTTCATTGAACAATGATACTTTGGAATTACTGCTCAAACTTCAAAACTTGCACCCAAATTCAGCAGCTCCAAGGGAGAGTACTTTCTTCAATACTCACATATGACAGAACATGGTAAAGACAAAATGTGGTTTGAATTGGTCTCAATTTTCCAGAATTACACTCAATACTTTTTTAAATATTAAACACAAGCCAATATGCTTACTTTTAAAGGGGTAAAAATATTATTTGCAAATACTATTTTGAACTTGAAGTGTCCGTGATACCCTTGGAGACTGGATTAACTCTGACTATGCAATCATTTTATAAACACTATACCTTAAAAAGTGTATGTATAATTGTTTTTATACAGGAAAAGCAGGTAGTAAGAATTGCATACCCATAATGTGCTTTGTAGGTCATTCTTAGTGTACACACCCCTAATAGGTTCCTATGACTAACACATTTTTACTCTAATATATTCCTTCTTCTCATTAAAGATGTCACTAGACATTCAAATGAGTTGCATTAGTAAATTGCAAAATGAATGACTGCCAAAGTGGCCTCTAAATTCTGCAATTCACAATTAGTCAGGCACTCTAAACTCTTGGTCCTTTTGCAGACTAAAAGTTTCTAGAAGGTCAGCTGTGTATCTCAACTATAAACTCTCCTACAAGAGGTTTCACCCTCCCACTTATTGGTTGGGACAACAAAAAGAAGGAAAAATTAAATAATTCATGTTCAGTTAACATAGGGGTAAATGAATTACTTTTTATTTTCAGTGGATTTGCCATCCCTGATAGACGGATATGAGCTATTCTGCAAGTCCTGATACAAAAGTGCGCTGAGGACCAAAACAATATATGGGTTTTCAAGTAAAGCAAATTGCAAATGCCCTCCCATTCTACGTAGTGTACCTTGGGAGAAACGTAAAACCTTATTCTTTTCAACATAGTCCAAGGATCACAATAGTTTTGCTGGATTTTTGCTGCAGGATCTTCATGTGCTGTAATATTTAAAGTCTGTCCCACTGATAATCTGGTGATGTTGCATTTTTAGTTTGCTGTCCTTTCAGAACTGATTTATTTTCCCCGTGAGGTGATTGAAGACACACAGATAACCTACACACATTGAAATCAAAGTCAATCAGGTGCAATGTCCCAGCCTAAGCTGTAATTCTTGCCAGAGCTGAGGAAGTGCTCCCCTAGGAGGGAACATGCTGGTGAAGGTGATTTCCAAAGCCAGCAAAAAGAGGCAAACCTTTGCGGGTTTCCACCTGCTGGCAAAAGCTCTCTCACAGAGATAGTACATAGCCCCTGCCACCCCACACATGGCTGCTTCAACGGGATGAGAGCTGAGCAGGGAAGCTGTTTGCATAGTTGAAAAAAGTGGTCTGAAAGTCATCCTTGGAAATAAACTGGTTATCCTAGGAACCTGAACAATAGATAGGAAGCAGAGAAGCGAATGCTGTGTATAAATGAAACCATTAACTTTGGTCCTCTGGGTCATGAAAAAAAAAAAGATAATAAAAATAATCATTAAAAAAGCAAACAGACTGCAAAGGCACCCACATGTAAATTTCAGGACACTGAATTTATCTCATTGATTAAGCACCAAATCAGCTCCCTACAGCAACCACCAGGGCTCACCCCCACAAAATCACTGAGCCACCCTGCCTTTCCATGTACCACTGCCAGGGTGACATGTCAAAAGGACTGTGTGTGGCACTTTTCCAAGTTTGTTTCCCCTCCCCACCTACTTGGGCCTAACTGCCTCTGTCTGATGAGATGCCAGTTCACAAAACCATCGTTAGTATGCAAGACATTCTTGCTAATCCTGCTAAGAGACTGTAGCAAACCCCTGCCTGGTTTCACTGGCATTGACAGCAATTTGCTGACAAGGCCTCTTTCACCTTGGAGAGAAACCAGGGTCACAGGAGTTGGTGATAAGAAATGAAACTCCATCAATCCTGGAGGAAGGGATAAAGAAGTGTGAGGTCAAATAAAAAATAAATAATACTCTGCACTTATTGAGAAGCATTCACTCTGGGAATGGAAATTTCACAGGTGCAACATCTGGCACAGCCACTGGAAGAGATTGGCATCCCTCTGAGAAGGAGAGAGTTGCAGAAAGCCAAAGTGTGGAACTGGGCCAGTGCCAGCATACCAGAACACATCTCCCAGAATGAAAAACAGGAGTGTTGAGGGAGACGTCTGGTACACCCTAGAGGGCACTATTGCCAAGTTAAAGAATTACCTCTCAAGGCGTCAAATAAAATAGGTTCTTATTAACAGAACATAATTTCACTACAATTTTCCTTCTTTTTCACTTCAAAGTCAAAACCAAACTAGATGACAGTTCTCTAGAGATTAAAAAAAAAAAAAAAAAACAAAAAACAAAAAAACAAAAAAACCAAACAAAAAAATCCCCCTAAGTACAAAAGAAACTAGTAAAACTCTTCCCATCTGTTTCCAAATTAGCCTGACTTATCTAATGGCTTTTTCTCCCTTTTCCTTTAGTATTTTTCAGGGGGAATGGAATAATTTAATTACTTTTTCTGCAATGGTTTTATTTTTAATGTATTTTTCTAGGCATATGTCCATGAACAGACTGACGGAGAGTATGTATGTGGTCAAGAAGATCCTGCTAAGAACTTGGTTGACCTATTTAAAATAACAGCCTCATGTAAGATTTTAAGTTGCACGATCCTCTGAAATACACAAGATTAATATTACAATGCAGCACACTCAGATACACTAGAAGTGTGATGGAGCAAATGTCTCAGAATAACACAGGATGCTTTCTCCCATCCTCCCTTTGAACTATTTGTCTGTGAATGACACTGGCTTACCAGAAAAAAAAGTCTGGGTTTCCACATACAGTGAATGAAGCAGGAGGTGACAGAGCAACCCATTTTATGTGACAGTGACTTCAAACACATGCTGAAGGAGCTCTCCAGTATGAGTCTGCTGCAATACATCCTGCTGCAAGTTCACTTTGGCAGCAGATGTCCACCTGGGCTGTGCATTTATCAACATGTTATTACCTGACCTGCACCTGGAATGAGAAACTACATTCTACTTGGAAGGATGTAATAAAATCCAGCAGACCTCAGAAAAGGAAAAGCCCATTGTGGGAATATTTGGAGTTATTTTCCCTAGAACTGATCAGCTTCATCATCTAATAGGTTTGGAACCCGGCTGTCATCTCTTGGGCTGACAAAAATGTTCTTCAAAGCCCTTTAATACCACTGCAGCACAAGACAGGGCAAGTGAATATTCCCTTCCTTTAAAAACTCGGATGTTTTTATCGATTTCTCGATTCACCAGCACCTCATGGGGCACACTTTGAAACCCTGCTGGTAGGAAAAGAGACAAGGAACATACCCTGCCTGAAATTACAATGCACTAATCAGTATGTCAGCATAAATGAACCAGGATTTCATACCCTTTGCTGTTTGTACTCTGCTGGAAAACAGTTCTCAATTAAAGCTAATTGATCAAATGCACTGTACTTTCTTTTCAAGCAGTAATACAGGTTTTTGCCTCAGTAACTTCAACAAAACAACACAGATAAACCTTGATTTGGATTACTGAAAGAGCTTTCATATGTATAAACATTACCAGGCAAGTTCTTAAGGTGGGAAGAAAAGAAATTGTTCCATTCATCCAGTTATTAGCTGCAATACTTCCAACAACTAAAAAAATTCCCCCAAATCCCAAAATAGATCCACTGCATTGGAATTGTCTCTATTCAAGTGGAATATCAGTAAGGTGAAGTTCAGCTGTTTTGGTAACATTCTGAAACACAAATCAAGACACGTAGTTTACCCAGAGTCCTAATCACAGTGCAAATGTTTTCCAAGGCACCCGTACCTGGGATTTGGGATAAATATGTTAGAGAGACAAAGTTCAAATCTTGATTTCAAAACACGTTTAGTAGCCAAGAGCTGTTTCTGGATTGAGGAATTTTCTTTGGGTCATGTTCTAATCACACTGAAGCCAAGTTTTAATTTTCATTATACTCTTAGCATTCCTCTTTTTCTCTCTCCTACCACCCACTCCACTTACAAGTGACCTGGAGCTCTGTTTTGAAGGGGGTAGGAACTGTCTCACATTGGTTGGTGTTTCCTTTTCAATGGAGTGTCGTCTCTGAGGTGGCTGCCGTCTCTCAGGCTGCGGCGTAGACGATATGGGCAAGAACTTTGGAGGCACTAAGGATTCAATCAGTACAAAAAAGTTAGTTCTTCTATGAGAAACTGTTGGATAACATTACTCAGTACTTAATCCAGTCACTGATTTGCTAGAATTCCTACTACTGGTGGCTGAAGTTACATATCCCATACTGAGGTGTTTCAGGATATTATTCTCATTATTTCACCATCATACACAGAAAACACATGCACAGATGACACAGCTCATTACAAAACCTTCTCAATGAAACTGAAACACTTCAAACAAATAAAAAATATTGTTACACAGGAAAACCTGCAATAACTGCGCCTGAAAAAAAAGACCAGATCTTGACCTTTTCCCAGTAAGTATTTTTGAGAAATACTGGTGATTGCTAAGTGTCTTTCAAACACAGCTACAGTGACAGAGATGGAGGAAACTTAAATTGGTCTTAGGTTAGATCATGCTTCTAATAGCAAAAGATTATTTTATGAGATGAGCATAGCTAAGCTATCTCCTCCATTCACTTGTTACTTTCTCTACAGTCCTACATAAACTTCAAGGATGAAACCTCCTGGTTCACAAAGATACACCCCCAGACTGGAGGCTGATGCCTTCCAAATGATTATCACATTTGACCCATTCAGCAGGGCTCAGCTTTAGAAGTTTATTCCATTGACAACACTCAGCTTTAGCTTTCCATATAAGTTTGAGACAAAGTTCATAGCACAGAAGACAACAGAGGTGAGTAAAAGCAGCCACTGAGCTCTCTCATAACTCACTCTTTCTGCTACAGGTGCCTTCTTGAGAGGGGTCTTCCACTTGTGAGGGGGAGATGCTGCTGCTACTTCCTGATTGGTGCACTGATTCCTCCTGTGTGGCAAGAGGGAAAGAAACAGAAATCCTTAGGGACTGTTTTTAGTTCTTCTACTGCTTTTTAGCACACAGAAAACACAAGCCATCAAAGATATTTTGGACCATTCAGTCACTCAAAGTCCTAGAAGTCTTGAGAAAAACATTGACTCTACAGTACTGAGCAAACAGAATTTTCAATGCTCAATTTTTTTAGAAAGTTAAATAAATGGTACATAATTTGAATTCAGTGTGTTTAACTGCTGCATGAAAAAACAAGATCATGAGAGAGGTGCATGAACCCATGGTAAACTCTTAATTTCCCTTGTTGTATTTAAAGACTTCTAGGGCTTTGCAGCTACAGCAGACATATTAACACAGCTTTATATCTCATACTAACAAAGAATTAGCACTTAGATTTCTCTGGCCTCCAAAGGCATGAAAGCCACTCACATAAATGATTGAGGTGCTGAGAAATTAAACTGAATTTGACTGCACTGTTCCCTAATTCCCAATCCTGGTGTGTTTTTCCTTTCTTCTGTATTTAAAAGAAAACTCATTCACTGTATCTACATGCTTCTCAATAGCCAAGAGCAACTCCTCTAAGATGAAGGAAAGTGAAATGGCCTTTGACTAAACTCCCCTCAGCTATCTAAAGCTTTATGCCACCCAAATTATCAAATCCTTTGCTGTCACCTAAAGCCTGTCTTCAGCCACCTGCTACCAGCAAGGAAACAGATCATCACAGAAGCCTCCCAAATGGAGAGAGCTGAAGGACTGAGCTTGAACGCTCTTTGCCTCTAATGTGAATGCTTTCAACCAAAGACTTAACATCATTTATGCTGTCAAGATTTACAGATCAAACACGTGACCTGCCCTAAAATCCAGCAAGTGGCTAAGCTTCTCTACACAGATTTCCTTAGCTGAAAATCTCCACTAGCTGAAAGATTGCCTTCTTTGGTAACAGCAAGTTGGAAAGCAAAGCTGGCAGGATCACCTCAATGAGCACCACACATCACAGGACACAGGTCTCAAATTCCCATCAGGTGATCTGTCCTTTAGGCTTAGCCCAAGGGTAGGTAGGAAACTGTTCCCACCTACTTGCCACAACATAGTACTCTGCAAGGGGTTGCAAACCAGCTCACATCCCAAAACAGTATATTCACTTTAACATTTCAGTTGTGACCCCACAAAACACTTGTGATGGGAAGCTTGTAAGGAAGCTTGAGCAGCACATTGAGCTACATCAGCTGTTTTACTTGCAGAAACCAGTACAGTTCAGCTACAGAGCTGGCTAAGACACCTCTGCATGGCTGCCTTAAAAGACCAATGGAAAACTTCCATGACAATTGGATGCACTGTCCTTTAGAAGGGGTGCAAGAGTGTTCACAAGTCTAGAGTAAAATATTTACATTTTGAGAAAGAGAACTACAAAGGGAACTACTCAACTTTTCACTTTCTAGAAGTCAGATTGTTCTGAGTGGATGACAAGTTTATCATTGCCGGAGAAGCTAATGAGCTATGATGAAGAACTAAGTAAATTCTTCTGCTGTTCTAAAGAATGAACTGTTGGAGCCAGCAGCTAAGTATAAAAAATATGAAGTATAAACCAAGACATGGAAAATGGAAGCCAGGAGGAAATTAAACGGGACATAAAATCCTACTTAGACAACAGGTATTCCAGGTTAGTAATTACTACTTCTGTGCACAAACATATGCACTGACAATGCTATTTCTGTCCTACAATTTCTCAAACACAGAGGGCTTTCTTTTGAGAATGAAATCTTGTGTAGGAAGTCCTGATGAACCACTGCATTAATTCCTCCATATCTATACAGTAACTGTTAACTATTATGTTAGACTCTCTGACATTTTATGTTTGAGGTTGAATCAACCCAACATCCAGGACTCTGCACTGCACCAGAGTGCCAAACAATCAGAATTTTACAGTTACTGAGAAAGCCACAGCTTAAAACATCTAAATATATTACAGACACAATTTTTGGCCAGATAGCTGTAGCTTCATTAGGAAGAGACAATTTTTTCATCTGTATTGAAACTGACTATTGGATTGGTACTTCTCTTAGCCATACAAAGCAAAATGGCACTTCCTGTTCCATGCCCCCTGGAATCTGTGATTTTAGTGGTGATGCAGAAAAAGCAAGGAAAGAAAGAAGGAAAAATTTATATAATATTCATCCTTGATAGAAAATGGGCACAGGGCTGTATCAGACCTTGCCTTTCACCTCTGCCTGGCTACACTGAGTATTGGAACACAGCCTGCATTGCAACACTGATGAAAGAACAAAGGGGACGCATGGGGAAGAAAATGGATCTGCATCACAGCTCATTTGGAGGTCCACAGCTCAGCAGCGCAGGTATTCCCAGCCTGTAATTTAGGGCACAAAATAATAATATCACTCCCAGTGAGTAACTCCAAATAGGTTAAGCCCAATTCAAACTGCAGACAAAGAGGTGACCAAGTCATTTACAGGCAAGCAGAACAACACACAGACTCTTCTCTGTGTTACATACAAAGTGAAAGTCAGGGAAGAAATAAAACATTTGGACAGAGCAATCTCCACTCTCTTCAAATGTTCTACATCCTTCACCACCTTGAAAAACACCCAAACTCCCTTCAGTTTATTTTCACTACCTTAGCACTCTTCCTGAGTCCAACCAGTATTCTGCTGAGCATCTTTATCATCTCAGTTGCTTCACCAGCTATTTCTATTAACCCAAACTAATCCAGCATCTGCTCTCTGTGACAGCTCAATGTGCTTGATTTATTTTCAATTTATCTTTTGCTGTATGTTCCAGAGCTTGTTCCATACCACTTTGCTTGCCTACACAGTATTCCCTAATCAATAGTCATGTTCAGATGTTTTATTTTTCCCTTCTACAAGAAGCATTTCACATTTCCCATTACATAATTTTCTTTTACTCACTTCTGCTCATTTTCCTGTGTGAAATAGCATGATGCTTCAGGATACACAGAGGTACAGGCTGTAAGACCCAACTCTCACTGAGAGATCTTAGTATTCCTGAATCCTGCCCAGCTTCATTCATATTAACAAACCACATATAGCCTCTATTGTAATTTTAAAGACTGATGAGTGATCTCAGAATGCAAATCTCTTCTGCTTTCAGAACAGATGCATCAAATTATGCACCCACACAAGTCACCCACAGGATAACCCCAAAGAAGGCCAACCTTTCACAGATCAGAAAGTATGCAAAGAGATAAATTTCTCCCCACATATATTTCTTCCCAGCCTCCTATCTTTCAGCATAGACGCCTTTGTAACCACCCTGTCAGCAAACCCCTCCTTTCCCATTTACAAAAGAGAAAAAGAGTCAGGGAAGACTGCTTTCCCCAGGCTAAAATTATCATCTGTGAATAAAGCCTGCCTGCATGTGCTTTCCAGACAGCTTAACTTTCAGAAAGGTCCAAACTCAATTAATAACACTACTGGTCCAGAAGACAAAGCTCATTCTTGAGGATGTAATGTTGGTGCTTCCTGAGGGTCATATATAATGCAGCTTTGAAGCTAAAAAGCTTCCTAAGGTTTTCTCCTTCTAATGCTTTTTAAAATCTTTTAACTCTTCATTTAGAGTGGATGAATCCAAAATTATTTCTCCATCTGACTGGTATTTGCTTGTCCCTATCTGTGATTTGGGGTGTTCATTCCCAATCTTATATAGAAAATTAATGCACTAACATTTGCACCAAACTGCAACTCCTGTGACACAGCTGCTGCTCTTTATTTAACAGCTTTTATGGTGAGGCTAGCCCCACATCTGAGTCTTTTAGCAGCTACTTCATGAGTGGCAGAAGGCTGCTATGTACTTTCCTAAATTCCCAAAAGCATAATTGCTACAAGCACATTGTGGACAGATACTGGGCACTTAGGAAAGTAAGTAAATGTGGGTTTAAGGCCAAAATTACATTTAATCTTTCAAAAGAATATTCTCCTTTTTGGGGTCTGCTCTAATATTTGTGAAGTTCTGTGGGCTGACAAAGCAGCCATGGAAAATTCAGATTATAATTTGCACAGTCACTTCTCATCTGATCAGTTCAGCAAACTAAGAAGCAAGACTCAGTTCTGACAAATCGAGAATCAAGTTGTGTCCTGATTTTTTACCTCTGAATCTGAGCTGTCAAGTTCAGCCAGTGTGGGAGCCTTAAGGAGCCTCTTGCGTTGCACTGTCGCTTGTGTAGCCCCATTCTGCTTTCCTTGTGGTGCTGGACCACCGTTCACTACAGAGGCATCCACTAATTTTCTTCCAGCCTCTGGCGTTGGTACATCTACCAAAAGAAACAGAACAATTGGTGTTTGCATCTGAAATGTATTTTGCCCTCTCAAATCTTACTGTTAAAGCAATACTCACAAAAGGAAAAAGAATTATTGTGATAGTTGTATCTGTGCAATTATTTTACTTTTAGTGATTCACTACTCAGACAATTACAGGCAATGGCTTGCAGTACAGAAGCAGTATGAAAGAATGAAAGCAGTGCAAAAAGCAGCATTGCATAATGCTAAAACCCAACCTCACACCAACACCAATCAGCTTTAAAAAAATTGCCTGTGTTAAACCCAAAAATATTCTTCCTTCAACATATAGTCTGTAATTAACTATGTAACAAGGACCAGAAGAATGCACAACCATATCTGGGCAAGTGGGCTTCCAGTGAATCTGAAGACAACACCACACAGAAATTAGGAGGTTTAACATGGAGTAAACCCAGTTTTTCCTGTGAGTACAGAATTGCACTTTAGTCTGCGGGATACAGAGAAGGAATGAAAATTAGGTAAATAATGAGTGTTCATCAAACACATGCACAACTCTTAGGCTTGCTTGGCTGTTTGTATTAAGAACAAGTCTGTGAGGTCAGACCTTCATGAAACAGCAGAAACATGAGGCTCCAGCTCTATTTTCATCTACATAACTTTTACAAGGATGTAACTCCATTGAGTAAATTACTCAGGGTTTCTGCCAGTGTGCAATGAAAGTGCATCTTGGATAATGTAAGCTTTGGGTCTGCTGTGCTTAGCCTAGCTTAGCTTTAGACATTAAGATAATGACCTAGCCTTTGATATTTTAGAAGAGCTTAGAGTTTGGTCTGATAAATCAGTTTTATCCCTGTAAAAGTACAAAGTACAGTATTCCAATCTGAAGGAAATTATGTTGGAGGGACAAGGAAGAGAAGCTTTTAATCTCCCATCTGCATGTATGTCTAAGCAGCTGGTCTTTCTACAAATGTGTTTTTCTACTCATGTAATTATAGGACTCCTTCCCCAGCCGTGTAATAACAAGGTACCTCCAGGTATTATAAGGCTAGATGATGAGTAATAATAATGATGAGTAATTATTCCCATTTTTATACATGGTGAAAAGAAGGTCAAATGACTTGTACCTTAGGTTACTGGGAGGACTATGACAGGGAAATTATATCACCCAGATATTCACAGTGCCAACAATGCAAGTACTCACACATTATTTGGAATTACTTACACAGTTGCCCAGGTATAAACAGACACAGCCACTCCTGCTACAACACCATTTGCATGGATAAAGCCATCCTTGCACCAGGTAAAGCAAAGCTACAGACTACACAAAGCACAGCTACATAGTAGGTCTCTTTAACAACACTCTCACAACAGCACCTATTGAAATAAACTAAGAAAAGGAATAAGTTAAATCAATATATATTTTAAAAAATTATCCAAGTTATTGCTAAATGCTGGAAACTGATCTAAAAATGAGAGGGGGTGCATTATAGTTGCTATATAAATCATATCTTCAGCTGGGAGTGTAAGAAAATGCAATTATTTGGGGTATTAAAATCATGGTGACATTCCAGGCCTATGAATCTGTGTACTACAGTGTTATTACTGCCTTCAGGTCCTTCCTACAAAGAGGTGAAATCAAAGACTTAGACTCTCTAACCCTTACTTCCTATCTTCAAAGGCCTTGCTAATGGCTGTCCTGACTACCACAATGGCTTATAGGTCATGGGTTTTCTTCCTCCTAGATTTCTGTGGGTACAGTATGGGCGTCCCTCACATCAAATGCATTCCTGCTCTAACAGCAGCTCAACACAATTCCAGAAAGGGACAGCAGGAAAACAAAACCCAAACTGCCTCCCCTCCCTGCTGCCAGTCACACTTCTTGAGACCTCATAACTAGCTGCCATGCAGCTGATTGAAGAAGTTCTGGGTTTCCCAAATGAACAAGAAAAACCTTTGATTTGTCTTTGGATGGAACAAGGCAGCTCCTGAGCATCCAAGGAAACAGCCCCAGCACCACCCAGGCAACAGCCAAAGGTGGTGCCCCTTCTTCTCCAAACCTCCTGGGTGGGGATGCCCCTCCCTGATGGTAGGGAGTAAGTACTGCTGAACTCACAGGGAGATAAATGCTGGGAAGGCAAACAGCACTGCCCTCCTGCCAAAAATAAGACACGCAATAAGCCTGGGGAAAGGAAAAAATTCACATCAAATATTGTTTTCTGGTGGTTTTTGTTTGCTTGCTTGCTTTTTTCTTCCCTTGCTTTTTTTTTTAGGCCAAATTTCTTTAGGCCTCGGGAATGGAACTCTCTAGTTCATTTTGAAAGTAATTTATGTAGCCAATTGTGACCTAGGAAGCCTAAACTAGCTGTTATTTAAAGTCAGACATATATGAATTGTTCATAGATATTGCCGAGTTGCTCATGTGTTGATTCAAATCTTCTTGAATTATCAAAGAAATTTTAGGTGAATCAAGAAGACAATCCAACATAGGACATATTTTCAAGGTTTCTTCAGTAGGAGATATGATTCATCACCATTCTTTCCTCTAGAGAAAAAAAAAAACCAGGGAGTTTTTGCAACTTGCAAGCACTAAAGAATAATAATTTAAAAAAGAATAAAATTAGAAAACAGTCCAATCTATAAAATTCATTTGATCAATCAAGTTCAATTTATCATTCTTGTACTTACAGTACTGTGAACTCATGTGAATAAATGGATTATCATAATTTAAGCAAAAGATCATGATATTTGAGTTTCAACAAACAGATTACAAGTAAAAAACCTTGTTCTAAAATTAAAATCAGAATCTGTTAGCAGACATAGACCAAAAAATTATTAGTTTGTTTTAGCTGTTTTAGTGATCTGTTCAGACAACAGAAACATTAGTGGGTGACAAATAATCATACACTGTCTTAAACAAGATAAAATTACTTAGGATAAACAAGTCAGAAGCAATAGGTATAAATAGGTATAAATATGAACATGACAGATGAAATCAATGGACAATTCTTAGAAATAAAACATAGATTTATTTTTAAAAAAAATGGATAGTAGTTTACAATCACTAGCTGCCTAAAACACCTAAAGGTTTTGAAGATGATTTCAATTATATTTAAAAATGCTTGTGTGAGTAATAGCTTGAGGCTAAGAATTTATTAAAGAGTCAGACAAGCTGGGAGAGTGTCATTTCTCTGTGTTTTCAGGCAGCAAGTACAGTGAACAGTACCTGAAAATTGGATGATTGTGTTTGGTTTCTTTTGAGATTTTCTCTAAGCTTTCATTACAACAGGCAAATGAAAGAAAGCAAGGTCTTGATTTGATTACTTGATCATTGTGCTGGGCTTCCCTGACCAGCCTTAAGAAGGGGGAGACAAAAAAAACCCACTGTAGGATAATATGAAATGTGCCTGTATTTACATGTAAGATTATATCTCGTGAAACAAGGAATTAATCAGACCACAAATTACATGCAAACCTCAGCAGTCATGTAACCAAATGCTGTCTGCTTCCTAACCAGCTCTCCTCAGCTAAGAGTGATGACAGAAACTTCTATACAGGAAACGTACTCCTTGATATTATAATTTTTACACTGAGTTTAAAAGAAGGCTAAGATGGATTTGCAGAATTATTACATGTTTGCTTTTTGCTGGCTGTTATGTTGATAATATGTTGGGGTATATTACATAATGAGTAAAAGTAACAGTGCTCATTTCAGTGGACTTCAGATGTTGAATTCAAACCTGAGAACTAACAAATCAGTCTTTTGCTGTGTTTGCAACCCATGTATCACTGTGTTATGTAAACTAAAGAGTTTACAAAGACCTGGTGGAGCTCCTGCCTCCCATTGGTCTGAGACAGACATAATCTAAAAGTCATAATCCCCATGAAATTCGGTGTTAAAGGCTTCAGTTTCCTCTTCTCTCCCTGCACACCTCCCAGCTCCCCCTTCTCACAAAATGTACAAACTGTTTCTGAAGTAACAACTTCGAAGCAGCAATGCACAGAGCTTTGAGGTAAGAACTCACGACTGATCTTTAGAGCTGCATTCAGCACTGCATTGAAATGAAGCTGCTTTTCAGCTATTTTTCTATTAGGAGAAGTGGGTAATGACTGCCCCGGTCCCCAGTTATTATCTGAGTACCTCTCAGGTAACTCAGTACAGGTGGCTACCACTTGCTCCTTCTATTCTACCAGGAGGAAAAATGAGTGTAAAAGGAGACCCCAGGAGCCCCTCCTCTCCTCTTCAGGAGAACAGCAGGCAGATGTGTGGAGCTGGGCAGTGTGACACACCAACTACAATGGCCTGGTGCCAGCAAAAGTCTTCTCAGGATTCTGCATCCTCCCCTTTGCAGGCAGCATGAATAATATAAACCTGCACACGTCCTTTAGCACTTAGCAGGAAACACTTCTCTTTTTCAGCTGGTTTGTGGGGTTTTGTGACAGCAATTCCATCAAGCAGAGTGCAATGAAAGCAGTGAAAAAGCAAGTGTGTGGAAGCAGTGATGAAAGCACAGTACAGCCTCTCTGCCTCTAAAAGAATTAAAAAAGTAAAAGCACGGAAAGCAACAGCATCCAAAATTACTGCTTCTCTGCTTACTATCAATATCCCAACCCATCTAATTCACTTGTACTGCTCATCTGGTGTCTCACATCTACCTAACTGGAATGTTTTAGTCATCCTGAATTTACTTCTAAGAACACTTTATCAGATCACTCAGACACACCACATGATGCTACTTGCTGAGAACCACATGACTTGCAAAAACAAAACATTTGGGAAATGGATAAAGAAACCAGGAAGAGTTCTTCGGTGGTCAGTCAAAAAAACAGCAAATCCAAGTATGGTACAGATTTTTAAAGCTACTTCTTCAAAATAAAATATTATGGTTATGAATTAATGGATTACAAAATATTGTTTGGATTTAAACAAATGAGAACATCACAGAATTCTTAGAAATGAAAGCCAAAAGAAGAAGCAGACAGACACACATAGAAAGACAGATCTGAACATTTCCCTTTAGCTGGTCACTGGCACATTCAGTCTTATCTTCTTAAAACTAAAACTTTCAGCATATCTGAAAGTAGCAATACTTTTTGAAAATGTAAGTTTGCCTGTTGATGCTTCTATCTGAGGCCCTGGGGACCCTGCAACTTTCAGTGGAGTCAAATATGATGCCATGTACATATGTAATCTGAATCCCAGCAGACAGCTGTAGTAGCTGCACCACACACCACGAGTGTAAGGTTTCACAAAAAGGCTTGAGCTGCATTAACAGCTTGTCACCACCTCTGACAGCAGAGCCTGTTTCTTCCTCCCTTCCACCCCTGCTTATCAGCTGCCCTCCTCAGCCAGCTCTCTGATCATCTGACCAGATAGCAAGCAGGTTTCAATCACTAAAAGTGCAGAACAACCTGGTAAAAAAATATTAAAAGTATTTGCTCCTGGGCTACGGATTTTAACACGGTCCTCTTGTGAATAAATGAGCAGTACTGACACAGAGAAAGGGAGAGAATCACATGCTTAGAGGAGAGCCTGGGGAGGAGAGGGAGCAGTGAGAGTTCCTCCTCCCCTCTCAACAGTGGCAAGCTGTTTTCCTGGCTTTGTCAGAACAGGGAGCCATGTTCACAGATATGTCACTTGTGAACTGTGTTTCCATATTACATAAATGCTGTCTTTTTTAGATTATAGTAATAAAAAAAACTTCTATATGGTCTTCCTAGTTCACCATATGCCAGCATTTCAGTCAGATGATGCCTTTCTGTGGGGAAAATAACCAGATGAGGCTAAAGGATGCATGGAAAAAAATGAAGATGTGAACTCTGCTGAAGTCCTAGATGAGATGTTTCTATCTGTAACTCAGAGGAAGAAGGGGAGGTGGTACAAAGAGCTTGGGTTTATTCGGGAACTTTTTTGAGAGTCACCTAGGGGAAATGAGGTAAGAGCTAGCTATCGCCTCTGCCAACAAACCTTGGAGGCTGATGTTGAATATTTCCAACATCAATGATGGAAATTTTGGGCCCGATCATCCTGGAAAGTTAATGTATAATGAGGAAAGAATAAATTACTTTCTGGCTACTAGGCTATCTGACATTGCAGTATCCAAAGGGCAACAGGTTCATACAGCTGCTGCCCTCACGAACTATATTAGATAGTTGATGAAGGGTCACCTTTTGGATCCCCTGTACCAGCTATTACCAGCAAACCTTATTTTTCTAACAAGTAAAGAAGGAAGCTTTAGCCTTGTTGGTGAATGTCTTTGATTTCATACCTCACAATGATTTCACCATAAAGACACTGTAGAACTGACAGTTTCTTCCTATATCAATATACATAGGTATATTACATTTAATCTAGAAAGGTAGATGAGTTCAAAGCTAGTTTTAGCATCCTGGTGAGAAATGAAGCACTGCAAAAGATGATCTAGTCAAAAAATGAGTGCAAAGACACAGAAGTCAGATTTATAAATAAATAAATCAGACTTTAAGGTGATGCTGAACTCTGCAATCATATTAAGAGTCCGGAATAGCTCTGGACCACCTTATTTTGTTTATTTATTTAAGCAGAATTGCAGCACTCTGGTGAATACAGTCTGCATTTCAGGTGAAATGCAGATGTTTCCTGAACCTAGGCACCCTTTTGTGGCAAGGGAAATATAAGTATTAATAACTAATTTATCTGAATTTTTTTATTTTCACTGACCATATCTTGGAAGAATCCCTTCAAGTTTCTTTCTTAGATGGGAATTCAACAAACAGATGGAACAAATTTCACAATAAGCACAACAACCACGTCAGGTGGTGAGCACATTTTACCTGACAAGTCAAAACTGTAAGACATGCTAAGTGGCCGTATTGCTGTAAAAAAAGAAACAAACACAACAAAAAAAAAATAAAATGATTCAGCTCTTAGAAAAGCAGAAGGATAATGAAAACAAAATATTAACTCCATTTGAGACATTTTGGACTCTCTTGCTTAAATCCAAAATGTGTCAGACATACTACCACTTTACTGTAGCAAAGCTCAAAGCCTGAAAACTACAGTAGCATAAACGGGACTTGCAAACAGAGCAATTATATTACTAGTAAATTAAGAGTTTTGGAATTCAATAAATCAAATATTGAGACAAGAGACAAATATCCAAAAAAATATTTAATACTTTAAAATAAAATCACCATGAAAGAGAAACAGGAAAAAGGGGAAAAGAGAGAGAGAGGAGAGAGAAAGAGCTGGAAAAAAATTGAAAGCACAAAGCCACATTTCACACAAGTTTCAGTGACCTGAAATAAAGATATTTCTAATTTTTTTAAGCATAATCTCCAATGATTATAATTAAACTAATAAAGAGAGACACCCAAGCTAAGCTTGTACAGTAGAGCAATCCTCCTTGAAGAGGATGGAAAAAAATGCCAAACAAAATCTGATTTGTGCTGATTCCTGCTCTTTTTAAAAACCTTAGGTGCACTTAGCCTTTAAAATGCATCCATAATATTATTCTCTTCTTTCTGAGCCTCTGATGATTTTATTGTTTAGATAAAAAATTGTCCAGATGTTCTTAATTTCTGGAAAGACCTATTCATATTTCAAATAAAACAGTGCATTCAGGGAGTAGAGCCTCAAAATATTCTTCAGCTGAAAACAAAATATCAGTGTGTTAATCCAGATAAGCAGGCAGGGCCCAGTGACAAGGATGTGCAAAAATGCATCAAAATTGAAATCACCTTATGTGTCTTACTTGACAGGTGATCAACCTGCAAGCTGGTAGAAAGGGCCTGTCAGACACACATACCACTGCCCTAAAAGATGTTTATAAAAAGGTTGTACTGGGACAAGTTTTGTTCATGAGAAGACTCTAAAGTGCTGCATTCACTAGGTGGCTGACTCAGAGATAAATTTCAGAGTTGGGGCAATTTTTCTCTATTCATTATCTAGAAATTATCCATAGATAATAGCTACAGGAACAGCATCAAAATTTCTGTCCAAACTTAGCATAAAGGCACATACTTCTTAAAGCAGAAGGGTGTTTATCACCTGATGCTGAGACATTGATAAAACCTGCACATGAAACAAAGTTTGTTCCAAGCTCCATTAGCTCCACTTGCTTGAGTCACAAATCCACGCTTTTAATTAAAAGCACATGTACCTCAGGGCTCTGTTTGTCTCCATGGCTTACGCTGATGATTTTATGAGGTCATTTGAAAGCTCATTCCAACTCCTCTACTCAAATCTCTCCCTTTGTGAGCACAGTTCAACTCCACTTCCAAAAAGATTTAGACTGAGACTGGCCAGGGTAGAGAAGATCTTACTTGCAGTATGTGCTGTGTAGAGAGAGGGACAAAGCCTGTGGCTGCTGGGGAACACATGCCATAGGCACAGCCTTATCACAGAGGAGTACAGCCCCCACTCATCCCAATAGCCACACATAGTTGTGCTCCTGACTGTATAAACTGAGCAAAGAGGAGTAGCTCTGGGACATGTGAAACACACCTGATGCTCCTGAATACGTCATTGTAATGTGTTGGGTTTTTCTCCTTTTTAATAGCAACAAATAGTTCTGTCCAGATGGTGCAAGTGTCCCACATGGTGTTTCTATTTAGATTTATAATCCTTAAGCCTCATTACCTTACATGTTGTTACACTAAATCACATTCAGTGGTCATTTAAACTGTATGGCAGATCTATTTGTGCCATACTGAATACCATTAATGTTACTCTGTTCCCAAACTGCACAAGCACATTCTTTTTTAGAAGGAACTTTAGACATTACAATCATTCCAACTGTGAGAAAGAATGAAACCTCATATGTCGACATAAGGAAAATTATCTTAAAGGCCTTTGGTCTTTTTAGTTCCTCATGCCAACAGCTACTATATACTTGGAAAAAAGCTTGCATGCATCCACTTTTATACTTTCATCAATGTGGCATTTAATCCAGTCTATTCACTAGACTTAAGAGGAATTGCCCCAGTTCCAAAACACAAAAATTTAATGGATTTAACAAAAAGGGAAGAATAAGTGGAAGACAGGTATCCCTCACTGAAGGCAATGCCTTGAAATCAGTCCAGAAGTCCTGAGCAGTAGTGGTTCAAAATTTAAAATCAGTTTTAGAAACTGTATACTAACTGGGTTTGATGCCATTTATATAATTTACAAATTGTAAAGATTTATTAGATCAGGTTTGCTGCCCCTGAGACAACATGGTAGCTCCCAGACAGACAACATTTAAAAGACTGAAGCTGAATGTCTCGAAGAAAAGTAAGGAGTAATTCCACATTTGGACAAGCATCCTACATTTGGAAAAAAGTCTAGGCCTGTGAAAAATGTTAATTGATACAGCAAACATAAACTGAATCCAAACCAGAAACAGGAAGGCCCAAAAAAACAGTATTTGAAGTATTGTTCTTTTACAAATGCATGCAAGCATTCCCCAAACTCCATCAAGCACTTTGAAAACAATGCAATCAAGCAAGACTGATGAAATTGTTATTCTCCAGAAACAACAGGTTGTCACAATCCACTTGAATCTGGACCAGTGCCTTTGGGCACTTGTGGCAAGTACAAATATCTTACAAAAAGCAGTGACAGAGATGTCACAGTACGTATTTGGATTTTTGTATGTACATACAGTTTTCAGCCACAAGATTCCACATTTGCACTTTAAAAAATAATCTACTTCTGTTTTTCTGGTACAGATAAATACAGTATACTTAAAGCAATCTAACTCACTATGTAGGCCTGTATTTGTCATGCTTTTGCCATCAGAACCACTGAACTAATGCAAATGGGTGACTGCTACATTGCATAGTATTTGCATTATTTCATAGTGGTTTGCTGAAAATACACTGCAGAAATTAAATGCTTTGCAGTGCAAGTAGGAATTATTTTCCCATGAAAAGACGTTTTCCATACAAACACGTTTTCCATAACTTGGAAAAGGAAGCAAAGATTTAGATTCAAAATAAATGCAACAGATTCAGTAAACAAAATAAAAGCCGATTTTAAATCAAGATAAAGAAGTTGATGATGCTAATAACAGGAAACAAAGAATAAATTCATTAAAAATCGACATGTAAAGAATACTTGCAGATAGTCAAGGTATACTGTAATAGAGACAAGCAATACCTGTTCCATTCTCAGCAAATCTAACATAAACTTTTATATACAACAAGCAAAACAATACCACTCCATTTATCTAATACACTAAAAACTTGAACGGAATCAAGCTGAACCATTCAATTTCATATTTTAAAATATAACTAAGCACAAAGATTGCACAACCCTAGAAAAGCCTGTAAGCCATTTCTTTTTCTGAAGGAGTAATTTTATCTTTGGTGACATCTGAACAGATGTGGCTAAAATTGCTGCTTCCTATGTGGGAAGTTTTCTGTGGATGCTGCAGGTAAAAACTGGCCATGTGCTTACCCAGCCTGCTCCGCCTAATCTCATCAGGGGAGACTGGACGCAACTTCCTCTCTGCCTTGATCTCCTCCAGGATCCTCTCATGGAGGCTGCGGGGCCGTGGCGGGGTAGGTTTCAGTTTCCTTGCCGAGGCCTTGGGATATAGAGATTATCATATTTACATTAAAAAGTGCATCCTTGAAAGTAGATTTCACACTTTTTTTGAGAAAATGTGGAATGCTGTGATATGATTTTACATACACTCAATTTCAAACCTCAGCATAAATTGAAAGAGGGTTTTATGCATCATGGTTTCCTAGAGATAAAGAGCTGCTGGCAATAACAGATGTTAATTGGTATGTGCAACATATTACACACTGTTCTTTTAAGGGATCCTGTTCTATGTACAGAAGACAATGTTTTTGGAAGCCCTAGCAGAAAATATGATATTTACATATTTGCTGGAACCAAACATGCTTTGAAAAGCCACTGTTGTGTTAGGAATGAAGGCCACTGGATTACATACAGGATTTAATGGAGGTCGCGATCGGATGAAATCCAGGATTATTTCATGGGCACTCTTTTTTAATCGAGGTGGGATGTCACCGTTGACCTGGAAAGGAGAAAGTGAAATATACATTGCTGTGTTTCACATTTGTACTCATGCAGATGAGATAAACTGAAAACTCACAACAACCCTGACAGAGCTGCAGTGTTTTGACACCTGCACCAGACATAAAACCCCACCAGTCCTGAGTGGAGCAACAATTCATATGCAGAGCACAGGCAAGAAAAACAAGGTACTTAGCAGCTTTTCAGTTTTGCTGATGCCTGCAAAATAACTCCAACTGCAGCAGCTTTAAGCAATATTTAGGATTTTGAAGTAATGAAATTGAACATCAAGGCTGCAATTGTGTCTATGGGAGAAGTACATTTCCTCGCTGTAAATCACATATTTCTGTAGCAGAGGGGCTGGGAGAGGAATGTTTGCTTTTTTTGTTTGGTTTTCTCCAGAGACACTTAGACATTTAGATGTAAGACCATATACAAGACATCACAGGGAAGAGTCATCAATTCACTATACATACAGGATTTAAAGAAGGCAATGGAAGTTTCCACATCATATTGTAAGCTGGGAATAAGTGTATGGATTTCCTTAAAAGTAACCACCTGCCAGGTTCAGTCTTGACAGAGCAGAGTGCCCAAGCATGCTATCAGGGACAAGAGATCATCCTGCATCATATATATCCTTCTGCTACCTCCTCTTATTGCACAGTAGCTGGCTATCAGTCCTGTCCTCCAATTTGACAGAAATTTTCATGACATTATATTGTTTAGACCAAGTATTCCATATGTCAGACTTCTTTTTTAAGGGTCAGTTGCCTCATTTTATTTTTGTGGGACTATATTCATGCAAGCTCTGTAGCCAGAAAACCTATGTAAAGACACATGTCTGGTTTGCCAAATAACATGCCCTTCTGCTAACTAGAAGCACTGCTGCCATCACAAAAAAGGGTTTGAATGTCCATGAGGTCATCTGAATATAATTCCTAATTGAACTTCATCAATGCCATGCAGCTTCATACAAGCTCTGCTCACCTCAGGCATGCCCTGTGTCCAGACTGAAGATGAGTGACAGCCTCCTTGAGAAGATTCATCCCTTTTCCTCTAAGAAATCAGATGCAGAGTCCCTCCTGAAGAGCATTTAATTGCTTTCCTGAGGACTCTTTCTGGAGATATCCTACCCCAGACATAGTCCAAACTCTATTTGTTCCACCTTCCTAAGTTTCCTTAGAGTGAATTTCATGTTGCTTGGCAAAGAATTCCAAGCTGCTAAACTCTGCAACATGCATCATCTTCTTAAAAATAGTGCAGGAAAATTAAAATGGAAAAGGTTTATACTAAACCATGATTTGACATTTCCTGATGAGGAGAACACTATTTTAAGGGGTGTGATTGATTTCTTCTGTTCAAAGACTGAGCAGTTTTTTGAGGCCAGCATGCCCTGGAAGATGGCTAATGAAATGAGAAGTCTTTCTTCCCTGAGCTACTGTTCATCAGATGTCAAAGTTGATAGCTGAAGTTGAGAATTATTATCATCAGAACAGCCGTTTTGTAAACTGATAATCTCTGCTGAAGCCTTGGGGAACAGCCCTCTTCGTGACAATACTCAATAAATAATACATGGCTCTGAACCTTTCACCTCAGGGCACTCTAGGCCCTGACTTAATGCCACCAGGGTATAATTAGTATCAGTATTACCATCTGATTGGAAAAAGAGAAATGTAGGATTTGCTTAAGTGACTTTCCACAGGATACATGGGGAGCTGGTGGCCAAGCAAGTGGATGTTTTGCAGCCAACAAGCCAAGAGCAGGAGCATCAATGGCAGAACCCACCTTTTTGTACCTGGCACCCAAACAAGATACTGACATGAAAGATACTGCAGGGAAACTTTTATCCTCTCTGTTCAGACTAGATTTAGTTATTTATTTATTTACTTAAAGTAACTCTCTCTGTAGTGAGCAACTTCAAATGCATCCTTTATTTTTACTTAGTTAAAATTCATAGCTCTTGATTAAAGTCTCAGTCAGAGACATTGCACAGATGCAGCCATGATACCCACTCTGCAGGGGAAGGAAAACAAGGAAAAAGTTTGGTTTTTTTTTTCCTCTCCACATAACAGGCTGGCCCCAACTACAAACCAGTATTTGAATAAATACCTCAAAACATGGTAAAACTACCCGAAATCTTCATGTGTGTAAAACAGCTTTTGTACAGCAGTGTGCATTAAAACAGACAATGTGAAGGAAGCTTAACCAATTATTATAAAAGTCAAACATAAATGTAGAGATTTAAACAGCTAATGAGCAGAAAAATAAGCATGTCATCATCTACCAACAACCATCACATTTTAATATATAAATAGGGATTTGCAATTTAAAAAATAACGGCAAATGGTACTTAGTTACCTTTGGCTGAAGCTTTAAAAATGGTGATCCCAAACAAGAAGTACATTGGTGATAACTTTCACAAAAAATAACATCACTTATCATTGACTCTCAAATATCATAGCCATTTATTTGTTCAGCTATAAAAGGTGTCAGTAATAAGAAGGAGAGTGCTATATTTAAATAATAGTCAATGGGAAACTGATATGGTTTTCTACTGTCTAGAAATTTTCATTTAAAAGGAAATTGCATGGACACTGAAACAGAGAGAGGGGGACACACTACATCATTTCCAGAACAGCCCATGATGAAATTCAGTAGTGAATTAAATTATTATAAATAGATACCTATTTACAATCTTGCATTATGCAGTATAGTGCTTTATGGGTATTTAAGTTAACACAGTTGTTACACAATATTTTGATACCCCACAGCAAGCTCAAGCAGCAATATCCAAGATTGAAGTGCTCTGGTATTTCCCATCATGAGGCACTGTACTCACACTGCTGCTCCTGCACGTCTATTGCAGAAACAAGGTTAGGATACCATATGGTAATCACAGAGTCCCTCCTCTGAATACCCCTAAAGCATGATTAGGCACTGTAAAGCTCCCTGCTCTACCTAGGATGACTCCTACACTTCTGTAGAAACATTGTGATAAAGGTGTAAAATGAAAAGCACACTTCCCCTGCTGAAAGAACTCACCACAACCAAGTCAGACTTGTGTGTAAGGGGGTAACAAACTCTACAATGTCCAGCTGGATAAAGTGGTCAAAGTCCTTTGCACAGCAAAACTCAAATTCTCTGTCCTCCTTGAAGCTTATGAAAATACTGTCTGTGCACAGCTGTTACTGCAAGTAACCTAAGTACTCTAAGATGATAAATACTGCAAAGAAATAAATTAAAAAAAAAACAAACAACCAAACCAAACCAAAACAAAACAAAAAAATCCATGCTACAGGATTCTCAGCTTAGACATTCAAATTACTGGATATTTTTGATAATAATGACTTCAACCTGTATGTTTAAATACCCCTTCTGCAACATGGCCGAGCCAATACCACTGCATGACAGATACTTGTGAAGAACTCGAATATGATGACAAGAGTGCTGTTACTACAGAGAGTGTAACTGTTATGGAACATAATGCTGAGTTTGGATAGGGCATAAAAGTACCTGTCAGGCATGTATTGAGTAGGTAACACAAGAGATATCAGTTACTGTTCAATAAGCACTGCTCAAGAAATACAGTGAATGGTGCATATCTTGGAGGGAAGCGGAGATGGGCAGAAAGCAGAGCTAATTGTGAAGGACTCTGAAATTAAAAACTGCAGCTCAACACATACAAATAAGAAAGAAAAATTAAACCTAAAAGAGTAATTTAATTCTTACATTTCTTCACTTCCAAGTCTTGACTCTACCAATGACCACAGCTTTTAGCTTTTGTGGGTGTGGGTGCTCCATAGGGGAGGAAAGCTATTAAATCTCTCTAAGGTATATACCTAAAGTTTATAAGATTCCAGAATGAAACCTATCTTGCTCCCACAACAATTGCAGCAATGAAGACTCTTGTCTCAGGATAGAGAGATGACAAATCTGAAATTATTTTAAGATGTACTGAAATAGAAATGCCTACGTCACTGAAACAAATGAAACCAGTTATTTACCAAAAGCCCAGAATCTGACATTTTACATCTTCAAAACATTTTGAATATTTGCACTATAACAATGGGTGAGAACAGGAAGCTCCAGTTACTGCTGTCTGTTAGCACAACAGTCTGAAACACTAAAATATGGCCTAACAGGAACATCTGTTCCTTCCTTAATTTCTATGCAAAACACTGAGCAGTCAGCAACAGATCAAGCTACTCTTTTAAACATAGCATCACAGTAGTAAAAAGAACAGTAAAGATTTCATGTTGCATTTAATTTATTTAAAGAAATTACTTATTACCATGGAAATTTACTTAACCTCTTGGTATCATTAATAGGATACATGTCCTCACAAGCTACCAAGTCTAAAACTACCACCCATAAATTTAAAGCAAAAATTACTTTAAATACAAATTTTGCTGAACATCCATTTTGAGTGATAGAAAGAAACATAATCCATCTTTCCTAGGCTGCCTTAAAATTCAGATTTGGGATCCTTTTCTCCTCTTCTCAAGAACCACAAGGGTTTCCACTGATGGGAATCCATACAATGAGCTTCAACCTGTGATAGCCTGTTAGAAGATACATCTATGCAATCTAACTAAACTTGTAATTCTGTGTGAATCCTTCAGGTTCCACACATTCCATGTCAAGCTGCATTCTTGTTGTTGAACATGCTTTGCACAATCTTCAAGCAGACCCTGCAGCAGAATCCAAGTTACTGAGTTTAAGGTTTCCAGTAAGAAAGAAGTGATTTTTCTAACACAGTGTCATCAGCAGTTGTCAGACTAAGCCAGCAATTGCATCACAGACAGCCCTACAGGTACTGTACCTGCAGCTGATTGCAATCATATTTACTCCCAGAGTTCACTTTGGACAATCTATCTAGAAGACAAGATAGCAGGCCAAAAATAGATGCTTCTAGGGATTTTGTAGAGAGTCAGAGTCTGGATAAGCAGAGCAGCAGCTGTGCCCCCAAGATGTACCACATAATGAAGGAAATCTCTTCTGAAGAGGCAGGAGCTTCCTTAGCAGCAGCTGAATTAAAAGCTAGTCTGACAAAAGCAAAATTAGATGACCCAGGGGTTGCCATTCAAACAAAACTACTGTTCTGATTGCATACAGTAATTGAGGTCCTGAGGGGACTGGTCCTCTTTTGCAGAGGGTAGTAGGAACACTTAGCACAGTTCTCTGAATTGTTAGGGAACGAGAGATAACATCATTACCCTATTGGTTTAACATTTAAGCAACATCTGCAGCAGAAAATAAATACAGTTGGATAGTCTAAATCCAGATCTCAATTAGGAAAGTATTTTCAGCTCAAACATAAAAAGCATTTATACCACACACTTTCTGCTTCTCTTAACTGTCTCCCTCACCCCCCATCTTCCCCTCTAATTTTTTTTTTTTTTTTGTGGAATCACAGCTCTCTCACTGTGTGAAGATTTTTCAGGAAAGTAAATACATCTGAATACTGAATATTCTAAGACAATGCTTCCATTGTAACTAATGACAAGTGAAGATAAGTAAGTGTAAGGTATAAATATTGATGTTGACCAAATACATGCCTCTGACAAAGGGATTTACAATGTCCTACTAGGGATAAGATACCCTTTAGATCAGTTGCTAGAAGATCAGGAAGAAGGTCTTAATACTGAAAAAAAAATATAACCCAAAAGTATGGAAAGAACGGGGAGACACCAGTAAATGTGTTCTGATCAAAGTCGTGCCTCAAGTCAATTTTACAAGCACATCTATGAGGATCTAGGGGGAGGAGACCCATGAACATTCTCTAGCTTGCTGTGGCATATTGTCTTGATTTGAAAGCAACAAGAAAATATGCTGAAAATAACTTCTACAAATGGAAGATTTATTTTTTTTTTTATGCAGACTACTCCTTGAAAATTCACAACAGATCATGGTAGTGTAAGTTTTCTAACAATGTGATACAGGCAGTTTTCAACCACTGTAGGTTTTCCTTTCCCATCACAGTATCATTCATGGTAGCACTTTATATTCTGGAACTCCAAAAACTATGTTGCAGCTCAAGATAAATGTACTGCTAATAAGAAAAGTCTAAAACAATTTCTTATTGGAAAGCATGACATGACTTCTGAGATGACTCTTAAAGTTATCACAAACCCACCACAAGTGATTTGTTCAAGCTTATGATAGGCAGGCATGTCTTTCAGAATTTGAAATGCCTGCCACATGGAAAACAAAGTACACTACATATGTTGGTTTCATGTTCTCTCCCTCAATGCACTGCACAAATTTATGATGCCAGATAAGCCCCATGAACATTAGTTCGTAAATGAAATAGTAATTTCAAGATTCTCAGAAGAAAAAAGAAGACAAAAAAGAAGACAAGAAAAGGAAAATAACATTTCAGGTTTGAAAAACTCCAGTGATTCTCTTGACTTACCATGACCTTCCTTAAGGTATAGCGCTTGGATCTGATATCATCCATCAGCATCTCATAGGGTGTGAGCTGATATTCTATGGGCAGTGGGTTGTACTGACGCTCTTGAACTTTCTTAAGTTTTACACCATTCCGTAAATCTCTCATCACTTGCACCCAAAAACGGGCCTGAAGACAGAAGAGATATAAATTTTACTTCATGCCTTACCCTTGAATATCACCTCACATTAAACCAAAGTTTTCTTCCAGGACACCACCAAATATTTACAGCTGCACTATTTTTTTTTAAACACATCAACCAAATCCCATTTTATTTTATATAAGCTTATTTTTAACACTTGTGAACATAACAAAACTTTGTTGCAACTCAGCAGGACTGCTGAGTCTCACCTCAAGTATGGAAAGAGGATCTGAAATTCTCGTATCTAAATTCCCACTTCAAGTATACTGCAAGCACAAAATCAAAGTTTTTAGACTCATAGCTAATACTATGTGAATTAAAACAGTGATCGAATCTAAAACTTCATTACCCAGGACTCTCCTGTATAATTTCCTCAATAGTTGTTCTTCAAATATAAATTTTGGAATGGACTCCCAAGTCTTAAGATATTGCAATAGGAAAACTCAACTTCTTTTGCTCTGCCTGTAAGAACACTGCACACTAACACCTCTCTGTCATTTTCTGTGAAGCAGAATGGCTGGAGAGAAGAAAGAACAGGTGGTGGATTGAATATTGGAAGTTAAAATCAAGTACTTTTTAAGAACCTCATAATATTCCTCTATGAACTGGCAAGAACCATATCTAGAAAATAAAGTTACTTCCTGCTTAAGTTATCCTGCCGCCTTCTTCTTTCATCACTGGAGAAATTCAGCTGGTGGCTCTGTCTACTGCCCGACTGCCCCTCTGAAAGGCAGTCAGCATGGTACCTGTCTAAATGTCCAGTCTGCAAACTGCAAAAGCTTCTCCATGAAAACAGCCTCAGGAAAAATATATTGTTTGGATACTTCTACTGTTTTATCTGTCTGCCAAGGGAAGTTAAGCCTTCATTTAGTTCTAACTTGAAGTGGGTTACTATTAATACATATACTTAAAAAAACAGAGACTGATTTGAACACAGTATCATAGAATAGTTTGGGTAGAAAATACCTTAAAGCTCATCTACTTCCAAGCCCCCTGCACTGAGCAGGGACACCTTTCACTAGGTTGCTGAAACCTGTTCCTGTGCCTCACCACCCCCATTGTAAGGAATTTTTCCTAATATCTAATCTAAACCTCTTTCAGTTTAAAGCTATTCCATCTTGTCCTGTCACTAAATGTCCTTATAAAAAGTCCCTCTCCAGCTCTCTTGCAGGTTTCCTTTAGGTACTGGAAGGCTGCTCTAAGGTCTCCCTGGAGCCTTCTCTTCTCTGGGCCAAACAATCCCAGCTCTCTCAGCCTGTTTCCATAGGAGAGGTGCTTCAGCCCTCTGAGCATTTTTGGCCTCCTCTAGACTCAGTCCAACGGGTCCACATCCTTTCTATGTTGGGAGCTGCAGAGATGGACACTGCTTCAGGAGGGGTCTCATGAGGGCAGAGGTACTATTGCCTTAGTTAAGCTGTATAAAGAAAAATAAACTACCAGTAGCGATGCTGAATCACTATTCCATTCTCGTCTTACCCAGTCAGCATTTTTCAGTTCATCAAGATCCGTGCTGGATTCATCACTTGCCTCTTTGTCCATTTCCTGAATCTTCTTCAGGTTCTGCCCACGAAAAGGAAATGAGTGAATAAATGAACAGTAACATTAACTCTCATGTAAAATTGAAGCTTAATTTTTAATCTCTTGTAATGTTTGGGTATTCTATTGCTTATTTTAAGCCTTGAATAGCAATACTGTAAAAGTAACTTGAAACACTATTTGAATATATTTCTCCTCCTTGGAAAGTTAACCTTAAAACGTTGGGAACAAATGTTACATTTTGAGTATGAAAGTACTTCAGATAATAACATGCTGAAGGAAAAACTACACATTAAAATGTTTATATCCCAAAATTTTTATATGCACAGACAAAAAAAAAACCTTAGCCACCTATCAGGTCTGTTAAGCTACAACACAGAAAATATTACCAGCTTGATAAGGATCATTCATACCAAAATTAATACTTGTTGAATTCAGGGCAGCTCATTTTTGCTGAAGGAGAAATAAACTATGAGAAACATTGAATAGTGACAGAATTGCATATGTATACTATAATTAATTAGTCTGTATAACATGGGTATAGATTCTAAAATATCCATAATAAAATCATGTGAGGAAGAGAAACAGATCTTTCAAAGATGAAAACTGCTACTTATTAACAAGATCAGATCACGCAAATATGGAAAAGATTGAATGCAAAGGGGCAAAATAAAGTTTTCATGCCAACAAGAATATGAAAGACAACGAAAAATTACAGTAGACCAAATAACAGGCAAGCTTTAACACAGAAGGCTGTGGCTTTACACAAATTTCCTCATACACATCAACACCTGTATAAAGAAGGCTTTTTTTTTGTTTTCTTCTGTATTGAAATGTTTTGGAACCAGCAGTACAAGCCATTTCTCAGTAACCCACTTTGTTTTCTAAAAAATCTTTAACATTGTTTAATTTGATCTATTTTCTAAGTACTCAATAATATATCAGAAATGGATATTTAAGTCCTCTGATAGCAATTTTTTTTATTTTTATGAGACATAAGCAACAGGTCAGAGATCTGACAGATGTATCTACTAAAGTATTTATATCTTTAAATACACTTAAACTCATTTAATGGAATTGAACAATCATACACTTAAGCTCTTTTAATGGAATTGAACAATCAATCTGAATTCAGCTTCTGAGCTTTCCAGAAAAAATAAAAATAAGCATACTTTTAAAAACTTTTTTTTTTCTTTTTTTTTTTGTGGAGGTAGTTCCTGAACTGCCAGCATTTCAGTGTAAGAAATGGAAGCACTGGAAGAGTGCTTAAATTGCACATCCAACAGTGCAAGCATTTACCAAACCTGGCTGCAGAGCTAGGACATGTGAGTCAGCTACCACAGAGGTTTTGGAAAGACACCAGATGGGATCTTCATTGTCTTATTTATGTAAGTAACACAATAGCTTTAGTATCAAAGAAGAAATACTACCATTGCCCTATCAAAATAAAATACATAATTTACAAGGAGACTCCAAAAAAGCATAAATCACCCACACTAACAAAAGCAGATACATCATGGGACAATGTGGGAACATTTTGGCATGACTTGCAGCATCACAACAGGATACCCAACTGGGAAAAAATGTCTTTATGGAAATTTATGCTGGTCCTGGCACTGTGGTCAGTCTGACACTTATAGGCAATTGCCCTTTCCAAGGGAAAAACAGAAACATGGAAAGATCTGGTTACATAAAGGTCTTGTTTATGTGTATTCTTCTATCCAGGGTTCTTCTTTTCTGAATCATACAGCTGGAGTAATAATTTCCAATGCAGTACCTATGAACTGTAAATTGCTTTCTTTCTTGCAAACTGCTAACATCTACTGGTAAACTGTGAAAAAAACCAAAAACACCTGATATTTTTTCCTTTATCTCTTTGTAATCAAAAGGATAACTTCAGTAAATGAGCTCACAACTCAGATCTGCACCTCCTTCCCATACTGTTTAGCAGGAAGCTAAACTTTATTTTTTTTAAAAAAAATGAATGTGTTCCAGCTGCTTAAACTATGCTTCAGCTATTCAACAAGACTGGTGACAATCACCCATCTCAGCAACCGTGTTCCCTACCATACAGTTTATGGGGCTGGTTTATGCCCAAAGGCTGGCATTTTTGACTGACATAAATATTTCATGAAGCTAAAAGAGATTACAACCTGTTTTTCTTAACAAAAAATAAGAAGGGGGAAAAAACCCACCCCAAGCAGCTGAAAGATCTTCCAAATAAGGCAACCATCTAATTAGTTTCTCTGGAACATAGCTAGAGGGGCAGTTCCTACCCAAGAAAGCACAGGTGAGATGCTGGCTGCAATGCACCAGAGAGCTACATGAGCAAGACTTACCAGCCAAGAGATGAAGTGTCTCCAAGTGCAGTTTATGATACAAATGAGCTGGTACAAGCACAGGCTACTGCCAAAGCTGGGCTTCTTTTACTCCCCATCCCTGTGCTCAGTGCTTGGATGCAGCCCTGGAACCACAGACACCCACTTTGTAGGGATAGTTCATTCCCTTCCCTGGCACCTGGCTCTGGCACTTACATACAGCTCACCATGCAAGCAGTGGAGAAGAGTAGAAGATAAAGGAATTTCCATCATTATAGAACTAGCAAAACTTTGGGAGAAACCAGCAAGCACTCTATGCTTGCAGGAAGTGTTTAGGAAGACTTCTTTAGCTCTTCTACACTGTCAGGTGCTGCTTGGGAAGGAGTAAATTCACTGTAACAAATGATTATATTTAAACTATATTTAGACTAAATGGAACATTAGGGTTTCCCTCCAGCATGCTCAGCCAGCATCAGTGGGTTTCTGCCTCTGTTTCAACCATAAATAATAGAAACCAACACATTTAAAATATAATAGACCCTTTGTCAGAATTCATCTGTGTTCCAAAACCTGCAAGTAACCTCAGCTGCTGCTGCTGTAGCCACTTGCACTTAACCCTGGGACAATGGCTTAAGAAAATCTATTTCAGTACAATAAATACATGGCCTAAATGGATTTCCATTCCAGAAAGCAGAAACATCTTAAAAGGGTTTTTCTATATGATCCCAGAACCTCAGACCCAATTCACCTATTACAGCCTGGGCATTCATTCAGGCAATAAAGGTTGGATGTGTAGGAAATTACTGTTTCAAGAGCTTTCACCCTTTTAAAAAACCTTTACAGCATTTCACCATTTTTTCAGAAGACTGCATTTTGTGGCAAAAGTTAGTAATAAAAATATCAAATGTCTTCAAACCTCTTGCTGTGCTATTAAAAGCAGGCAGATGAATTGCTGCTGCTATGTGGCCCACATTTGAGATATGCTCTTCTGTGCTCAGTGACAGATGGGAATTTACATAAGACTCTTGTCAGCACAGTGTCAAAGACTTCCTACCATAAAATGCTTTCTAAAAACATGACACTTTAATTTATTGTGGTTTTCTAGGGAATCCAGACCTGGACTTTGACTTTCACCAACTGCAGAGCACAGTCTACTGCAGTTGCCAGTTCATACTCTAAATTAGGAGTCACTTGTTCACTAATTAAATTGATTTTTACACTGCTATCTGTAAAACTAGTAAAATATTCTTGCACATCTAGGCTCAATATAAAAATATATAACATTCACATATGGAAAAAACTCCTTTTATATACCTTCAGCTATTCGACATGTTAGGCAGTAGCACTACTTTAGGTATTTGAAAAAACCCACACCCTATTTAATTCAAACTGGGAATAGGATCAGTTAAATCAGTCCCTGAAAACCTCAGGCTGATAGCAGACAAAGTTCTTCATGTACAGTGGTATGGGCTGATTCACTCTTCTCAGCTCTGGAGGGGGCAATAGTCACCATGCTGCTCAGCATAACTGTGTAAGGAGAGGCAAAAAACCCAAACCAAGGGCATGTATCCCTGATCGAGTGACAGTGGCTGCATCACTCAAGAAAATAAAACCAAACCCTCCCCTGCCAAACAGAACCAGCAATATTTTCCTTTATTAAAGGTCCTAAATTGAAGGGTCAATCTGATCACAATGGAGCCACAAGCCTGATGAAAACACAACTGCAAAGGTGGAGTCTCTGGAGACTTGGAAGTGTAGACAAAAGTGAAGCTATAAGCTGAAAAGTTTGTGAATTGATTTATTTCTACAGCTGTGCTCTCTGAAAATCCAAGTAGCAGAGTATTTGACAACTTTTACAGTCACAAGACTTTTGAGCATAACTGAGCTAATGACTCTATTTCCAAAATAAGTTAGCCATTAACATTGTTTAGGTACCTATTAACTACCTCCATTATCATATTTTGTACAAATAATACAGCAGTATAGCCACCTGACCTCTTTCATTAGCTCTTTTGCAACTGAATCTTTGTATGGCATGAAACTAGGAATAAAAGAGATAACAACTTCATTTCACGCATGTGCTTAATTAGAATTTGTATGCTTGCATGCCATACAGGTTGGATTGAAATATACCCAGGCAGACTGAAAGAATTATGTTTTTACATCAGAAAGGACAGAAATGCAAGGCAACATATTTTAAAAGAACAGTACAAAAATGACAGACTGGGAGCTTCCTCTCTTTTCAACCTAATTACAAGGCACACTGTGGATAATGAAATTATGGATGAGTTTTTGATGAGCATGGATTTTCACTGCAATTAGAAATGTAGGCAATTATAAAAATATACAAAGTCTTAATTAGTTTTGGAAGGAACACTAATTTTGATGCTCTAGGGTGTACATCAATGTCTAAAACTTTTTGAGGTTTAAGTCAAACCTACTGCAACAGATCTGCCTACTGGACACTCATCTCCTTTGCTGGCCAGCATCACATGGTGTTTTTTAGCACCTCCTGTGCCAGCTGAGGAGTTTATCACCCACAGGTCTACAACCCACATGCCAGTATCACCTTTATTGGTACGACCCACAGAGTCACAAAGTGTTTGAGAGTGGAAGAGTTCTCTGGAAGTCAGCTGGTCCAAGCCCCCTGCTCAAACAGGGCCACCCAGAGACAATTGTCCAGCATCATGTCCAAGCAGCTTTTGAACATCTCTAAGGACAGAGAATCCACAGCCTCCCCAGAAAATCTTTGTCACCCTCACAGTAAAAACAGTATTTCTGGATGTTTAGAGGAACCTCCTGAGTTTTAGTTTGTGTCCACTGCCTCCGGTCCTGTCACTGAGCACCACTGAAAAGAACCTGATGCTGTTGTCTTCGCACTCCTCCCTCAGGTATTGAGAGACATTGATGAGCTTTCTAATTTTCAGACTGAACAGCCCTAAGTCTCTCTGCCTTTCCTCACAGGAGAGCTGCTTCAGTTCTTCATCATCTTCCTGACCCTTCTCTGGACTCTCTCCATGGTGTCAATGTCTCTCCTGTACTGGAGAGCCCAGAGCTGCACCCAGCACTCCAGCTGTGGCCTCACCAGTGCTCAGCAGAGGGAGAGAAACACATCCCTCAACCTGCTGGCAACATTCCTCCTAATGCAGCCTGGGACATCACTGGCCTTCTTTGCAGCAAGGGCACTTTGCTGGTTCACTCAGCCATGAAGAGCATGTGGAACATTAACTCCAGGGGAAGGCAAGACCAGGCAGTAACAGGGAGCCAGAGGAGGACTAGGGCAGATATCCTTCCAAAAAAGCAGGTTCACAATATGGATACAGCCCTGCTGAATCCTCTGTCTGATCCAGAGCACCAATTTTGCATTCCTTTGCTTGCATACGTAGCCTCTCCTGTCTCCCTCAGTCACACATGATGCCATTTCTGAGCAACGTGTGTGACCTTTTCAGATACTTCACAGCAGGAACATTTGCTTTATCTCATGGACATCACTTATTTTTGCATACAGTTCTGTCTATGACCAGGTGCCACTAAAGGTTATGTCAATGACTTTTGGGTGATGCTGAAAAAGATGGATCTTTTTTTTTACATGGGTCAATTTTTAGCAGATATTCTAATTACCTTGCCCCCTGCCATACATGCGTGCATTTCCTTCACCTTGTGGACCATTTTCCCCAAAAAACAAAGGGGGGAAAAAAGAGATAAAGAGAGAGAGAGAATCCCTTTCTATGGGATTTTCTTACTGCAGTTTTGAAAGCTCACTTCTTGACATGAAAAACAAGCTGTACTCTATCTTTGTTATCAGCTGTAAAAGCTTAAACAGCAGGTTACAAGTACTAGGAGGTCTTGGCCCATCAGAAAACTGGATACCAGCAGATGGTAACCAGGATGAGTCTGCAGCAAGGGCAACTTTCACAGACCCTGAACAGCATGCAGGTGCTGTCAGCAAGCTGGAAAACACACCAGTAAGCTTGTTAAAAAAAATTTCACCTTGCAAAAAGAAAACTTATAGTTGTTTAGTTTTTTTTTTAACTATTGCAACAGCGCTATCACATCTTTCTCAACTCTGCCCATCCTGTGCATCCAATACATGAAACATTTCACACTTTTCAAGAATGGAAGTACCATCTCCCTGTCTGCCAGTCAGCTTTGCTGCTGACCTTTCATACACAGGGAATCAGACTGGAAATAATCATATGGCATCAATTATATGACAAAGTGCCTTAAACATCCTATTTGACATCCATTGAGATGATATGAGCAGCTCACTCATCGCTTCATCATCTCTGGTTAATACACTCCCCCAGATTTATGCCAGTCCAGCCCTTTGTGAATCTATGCTCTATTTGTTATATGACAGATGATGACTGGGGAATATGTGACTCCTCAGTATATATATTAGTATTAAAACATATTACAACCCATAAACCTACCCCTCCTACCTACCAAACTATCCCTCTTGAAATCCTGGACTTTCAAAGTTCTGCTAAGTTTTTATAGGGCCAAATCGACAACAACATCACAGCAATATTTTTTCCCTCTTTCACATCTAAACCTGGCTGCAGTATAATATAGGTCAGATTTCTTTCAGTCCAAGCAAGTTGAATTTTTACTGATAAAAATTCTCCCTCTTCCACTACAGTGAAGCTGCCTATTTAAGCATTTACTGACCAAAGAATATGAACCTCATATACCTGGGAAACAGATACCCAGATGCCACTCAGTGGCCCTAGAATGAATCAAAGTAATTTCAAAGTAATTTTTATCCACAGGAAAGTTACTTTGAATAATTCCAGAGGATTCTTTCCCTTTTTTGGTGTTTTTAATTTCATTTTGATCTCACATCCACAACAGCATGTAGGTCTGAGGGAATCTAAGGGACAATCTCCAAATTAGGCTGTTATTTTTTGAAACAAACTAACAATTTAAAATTCCTGGCATCTTTAGTGTCAAATCCACAATATTACACAGCATTTTTTTTTTTTTAATTGGAACTGATGTATGTAACTTGGTTCTTTTCCCCCAGTTCTTTGGCAATGCAACCACCACAAATCCATGACAACAAAATTTCCTTACTGAAGTATTCAGTGTTTATCCCTTTATACCCATTACTTATATGACAACAACAAAAGGAAAAGAAAAAAGGAATTCATTAGAAGAGTATTTAACTGTGCTCCTCATGACTTAAAATTCTGCTGTGTATTTGCAAGACAGAAGAGCATGTAAACAATAGCACAGCTTTTACTGGCACAAACCTAATGTGATCATATGATCCCTGTTTGCCTCAAGTATAAACTATAAAGGTCATTTTAAAATGGTGCAATAAGATTTACAGCATTGCACCTCATATTTTCTTCATACCTATTTTTTTGTTTTGTACATTTTATTATTTTCAAAATTAAATATCTTCCAAATCCATAGTTAGATAAAAGCTATGACCAAGGACCAAGCACATAATAAACCCAAAGTATTCAGATTCCAAAAGCTGCTTCCAGGATAATTTTCTCGGTAATTTCTTACATGTCTACTCAGGGACTGATCCAGAGTAAAATGAAATCAAAAGGTCAAAATCCTGGCCGTGGTTAGGTGCAGCAATAAAAGTCTTACTGATTCAGTAGGGCCAAAATTCCATCCACAAGGATTACTTCCTTTGACCTAAATGTGCTTTGAATCAATGCCTAATAGTCTGTGAGAGGCAAATGGCTTCTTTCATTTGGGATTAACTCATAGTATTCTCTATGGTGTGATCAGATGTTGTTGGGTTTTTATGCCCAATGATAAAAGGTGATTAAGTAATTTACAAATTCAAAATGCCTTTCCACTTCTAAAAATATTTTTAAAAATAATATTGTTAAGACATGATTTTACATGGTTATAGGTGAAAATACTTTATTTTGACCTTGACAACAAAGATGCCCTATTACTGTTCACTGTGGCCACAGTGTTTGAGAACTATTAGAAACTTAATTCCTCTCTGAGCAGAAAGAAGAACTCTGAAGGGTGTTATCTTTGAGCCCCAACATGGACTTTTCAATAGCTGTTGAGTGAGGTGTTTCCAGCACAGGTCCTTCCAGTTAATATATCCAGTAGTTAAAAGCCAAGATGTGAAATTAATGATGTCAAGGTTCGGGAGACAGCTTTAGCATGGAGATCTTGTATCCTGGCTGCTTCCTGTATCAGGGACATTGGATGCAGATGTCCCACTTTAGAAAACAAGTGGCTCTTTAGCCATGCTGACATTGCCAAAATTATCCTTATACGACATTGCTTTAGTTTAAAAATTGCTTTCAGTTTGAATAGGACTGGAGAAGAAGGGGAGATTAAATGTGACCTGTGCAGCAGAAAAACATCTCAGAAGGATTCACCCTCCTGGATGATGCATCTCACTCAGGAAGGAAAGAGCAGCAGCCCCTTATGTCTCTGACTAGTTTGCATCTTCCACCATCAGTGTGCTAAAATTTCTTTTGTACTCATCTGAGGCTCATCTGACCCTTTAATGAGCTGATTCAGCTCATTAACCTGATACGGAGTAACTCCTTTACTTTTTGTTTTGCTTGATATTTACTGCATTTGTTCCCTAGAACCAGAAGAAGGAAAACAGTGGGAGTGTGTGTGCGTGGGTGGAACAGCTCTGCCTTTTTCAGCAGCAAAATTTTTAGGTCAGCCTGTAAAACCTTAGCCTGTTTTTCAAAGGTACTGTAGATCTTGACTTACAAAAGAAAAGAAAATCCTTCAGGGATTTATTAAGAAAAAAAAATATGAAAGCATTGCTACTTGACAACTTTGCTTTGGTGAAGAAACCAGCTTTGAGAAATGAGTTTCCCTTCCTGCCCTTCCCCTCACCCACCAGTTTTCCAATGTTACCAGCACCCAGACTGTTTTAATACAATTGCTCACGGGGCCACTCTGCAGGCCACATCACTGAAACTATTTACAGTATCAACCTTAAAATCACTCTTCAGCCAGACTCGTTAATTGCAATGGTTCACAGGATGGCCTTTCAGCCAACAATAACAGCCAAACAAGCAGCGAACATAAGCATTGTGACCTGAAAAGGAAAATTTTTCTATTTTTAAAGTTGGCTCTGCTGTGAAACCAATGTGACAGACAACAAACTAATCATATAGCAAGAGGTAACAGAAGCTGCTGACTGGGGACAAAATATGAACAAGAAGAATGTCAGATAATTCTCAGCAAAGAGAATCCCCTCATGGGAAGGAGCTGAGGAAGAACAGGCAAAGCTGTGACACTTCCTAACATCCCCAAAACACCAGTGAAGAGTTTAGACTCAAATATATTGCATATATGATTGCAGGAATGGGTACATGTATGCAATGTGTTACCCTCCAAGAAAACACTCTGCTTTATCCCAAATAGACTAATTAACAACCAATTATGAGGGATGTAAATGGTTACAGGCCAAAATGAAAAAAAAACCTCGGCTGAAGGAGTGTATTCCCTGAAAACTACAGATATCTCCTCAAGCATCTGACATTCCCTATTGGCTGGGTACAGAAGTGATTTTGTAAGCCAAATTCACATAGTGATAAGCTCGAAAGCAGAAAACTTTCTCAGACTGCTTACCTCTTTTGCACTTTTAATTTTGGCCAGGAAAGTGTAGAGCTCCATTGTTTCGGCAAACAGAGCCCGACACACTGCTTGGTAGTGGTTGGGCGCCTCCGATCGGGTTGGCAGGTGGGCAGCACACAGCTAGGGAGAAAAATAAATAACAGGATCAAAACAATGCCCCATTGCTTTCATTAATGCTACAGAGAATGAGATAACATGAAAGTGAATGCAACTGAACATCAAGGGCACAAGCATCCATGAGACATTTCGGTTTAGTCAGGAATAATTGGGATGTATCTTCTAGACCTTCTGTTCCTCTGTTTTATGAGAAGAGTACTATAGGAATGGTAAGGTAGACCATGTTCTGGAAAACCAAGACACTGCCTTTTCATAACAAAAAAGAAAAAAAGGTGGGGGGGACAATATAATTCAACATGATTGTCATAATTGTGAAAACAAGCTATCTTACAGTAACAAATTTTGGGAAAACATACTTAATTCAAACCAGCTTTACCAGTAAGTGTTAAGTATTCCTATGAACATGGAAGAGAACTGTATCCCTACCAGCTTATGAAAGGATGGAAGGTAAAGCAAGGAAAAAAGTACAGTGCAATCATCAAGCTGAAACTCTGATCAGATTTATTTCAAGCAGCATGAAGATTTTAAACATCAGCAAGAGCTATGGAAGCACAGGCTTATTTATTGCTTTACCTCAGGCATTCATGAACAGTTCCAAACACAGGCATAGCTATTGCAAGGGAACCCTACAGGTGTTTCCATATGCCCTAAGCTTGCAAAACTCTGAAACCTTATTCAAATCACTAAGAATTATTCACAGTTACCGATGAACAGTCAGTCCAGCATTGCTTTTAGAGCAAAATATGCAGCTCCCATTTTCAACAAGAGATGATTCACTGAAACCATTTCATTTACATTTCAAACTGAGAACCTGAACAGTCTGAGTGACGTCCAGCTTCATGAACATATCATGTTCATGGAAATATTGGCTGAAAACAGACAGAATAAAATAACATCTATAATTTCTTTCCTAAACACTTTTACATTTAAAAAATCCAAAGCTGAAACTTGAGTATGGATGGCTGTATACTGGTGTATATGTAAAAAAGAGTCTTAACCAAGGCCATAAAGTTGGTCTTGTTTATGTGGTTGTATAGTAACTATTTTTTATATATATATATATACACATAGCTACATTTAGATCTCCAGTACTAAAGCTTGAGACAAAAACCCCTTTAGCAGAAGAGCCCTTAATTAGCCTAGTGGCATACTTGTCTAAATCTCTCCTGTTATTACAGTGAACACTGTGGTTACAAGGGGCACGATGCATGTAAAGCTCAGGCTGCTTTTCCATATTGCTTTCCATTTGATTTAAATCCATGCTGCCACTAAAAGGTGTGGTCCTGTGGCCTCCAGCTATAGGAATCCACAGACACCCTTATGCTGGCACAGGAGTTCATGCCCTAACTCAGAGATGATTACTCACCCAGACAAAAATTAACAATGTGAAGGAAGTGGAGCAGGAGACAATGACTCTTCATGGCAGGGACACACTCACAGAAGTGAAGGCAAAAAGGAGCAAGGAGAACGTGCTGCCAGGGTGGGAAAAGGGAGAAAGGGCTGAGCAATTGTGTTTGGGTACAGTCAGATTTAGACTGCCTCAACCCCATTGACAAGTTGCTCTCTGAAGGCATAGGCCCCTTGCTATCTTTTATTTCTTCCCATTAGAATAACAATACAGAGCTCAGGGCTCAGATTTGGTCAACTCCTTTGATAAACCTTTACAAGCACATTTGGACTCCTGCAATACCCTCTTCTGATTATGTACCCATATGTATTTATCTCTTTTAGTTGTAAAAAAGAATATACATACAGAAAGTTTTTATATATATATGTGTGTGTACATGTGTATATTTTTATTCCTTTCTATATATTTTTCTTCCACGTAGGAAATGCAAGGCAGCCATGTTCATGAAATTGCCCTTGATTCCTACACTTCACATTTTATGTTTTTTACAATGAATGGCCAAAATTTTCTTACACTCTTCAAATTTATTTCTGGTTAATCACAAGGACATAGTTGACATATGTCTCCCTTTTTGTCCCCACTCCAACTCTCTCCTTTTTTTCCTCCTTTTTTCCTCCTTTTTTTTTAATTTTCATTTTTTCCTTTTTCCCTTTTTAACAAATCAGATCATCTCCTTGGCAGATGAAGGGAGAAAAACCAAAACAGATGCACACCTAATGTGTGCAATAGTGATAACACATACCAAAAAGATATAAATCTTTAAACATCTCCCTTAATGAAAATACAAGGATATTAGACCAGTTGTGCTCTTTTTTCTCAATATTGAACCATGTCCTTACTTGCCTTACTATGTTTTCATTTTCTAGTTATTAATTATAGTACAGAAAAAAGAGTTTCTAAAACACACTACTTACAAAAATAAAAATAATAGCAACAGCAATTTTGAAAAAAGTAATAAAATGTTAGAAGTCTTCATAGCTGAGCATAAAATTTTATTATTATACAGACTGCACACAGGTTTTTAAGAATCCCTTTTTTCTTTATTCAGAGGCATGTTAATTAGAAACATGTTGCATCAAATATTGAGAAAGTTAATGAAATGCAGTGGTGACAAGTTCAAGCAGGGAATGGTTGTAATATTGATTCTATTAGTGAACATAAAGTAAAGCAAAAAAAAAAAAAAAAAAAAAAAAAAAAAAAAAAAAAAAAAAAAAAAAAAAAAAAAAAAAAAGCCTGCTGCTGAATGGAAGTTACAAAAGCAATCACATAAAATCTGAACATTTGCTTTGCAAACGTTAGCTGCAGGTATTAAAAGAGGGCCAGCAGCTTCTACTAACTTTCATGTTCTGAGAAATCAGTTTCTGAGTGATGTTATATTATGTGAAGATGCATTACATAATAAAACTCCTTGTGGTAATATTAAGTCAAACAACTCAACATGGGATTTTTGGATTAGGGAAGGTAAGCCTGAAGAAAAAGGAAAATGTAAATAGGACAGGCTGATTTTTTTTTTCCCCTTTTCATTGTAATATATTGTACTTGCACATTGGTTCAGAACGCCTGACAAGCTGTAACTTCTGCATGAAAAAAAAATACAAAATCTAAGCAGGCACGGCAAATCAAGCATGAAATGTCACTTCTAGCCTGAGTTCAGGATATTTATCCACTTAAAATATTTTAAATGTTTAAGTTTATGGTAGTAGTGTTTGAAAGGCTATATTATTGTAACACGCAGCAAAAATCCCAGTCAGTATGCTTTAAAAACTGAGATATGAAAGGAAAGGTACCTAATAAACCCCTCCTCTTACTATGTCATAGTGGTAGTAGTGTAAGAAGGATTAAGATCATATATACAGTCTTTTCCAGTCATTTTGAGGTTGTATGCTTATTCTGACACTTGCCTTTTCATACCTCATGATACAACTTAAAACTACCCTAAGGGAATGAACTCGAACAGTGCCCAGAGCTTAATACAAGGCCTGTTTGTTCTGCTTCCAAGAAGTCTCAAAAAGTATGGCTCAAAACAAATTATGTGGTCTTTGCAAACAGATGAAATAATAAAAATATTATCAACTACTGAAACATTGACTAGCTCAGTCTGTAAATATTTCCAATTGCAATCATTATGAAGACCTGAGATTTCTGAATTTTTTTTTCCTAACTGAGCCTATCTGAAACCCCAGCTTGACCCAAAGCATTCAATCTTTGCTTAGATCACTAAGAAGATTAGAGGCTGTTTCCATCCACATTCAGGGTTCACAGGAAAAAAAGGCATTATGTAAATATCATAGCCTTGCCAGCTCCTCCAACTTCATCCTCAGTTGACTAGGAAACAGGGTGCACCAAGCCAAAGCACTGCTAACAGGAATCACAATTTAACCATCTGAAGAGATCAAACAGCATTTCTTGCATTTGTTTGAATATATTCCAGCAAGGCCTCCATAAAGTTACAAGAAATACAACTGACTCTCCCACTAAAATGCAGCTAAGTTTTGCAAAACCATTTTGGCTAGATATATACTGGAAGCTTCATCAAAACACCTGGGCTGCTGGAATTAAGATTTCAGAAGACAAAGAGTGTTTCCACTTGTAATTATCTTGGGGAATGCACCACAAAGAAGAAAAAGATTTCTTTTTCCCATGGGCCACAAAGACAGGCCATTGATATTATGCAAAACATATTACCAGCCTGCAAATGCCAGGCTTGTTAAGTGTTTTGAAAGCCCTGGAGTATTAACAAAGACTTAAAAGATGTACTTTTTCTTAGGCAACAAGAAGAAATTACTTTAACCAACAGATCACTGAACAGGCAAGCGTACTAGGTATTTGCCTCATGCTTTGCAGTATGGTACTGCAACAGGTTCACAAAATAAAACTCAGCTTGAGATGCCTTTTCAAGTCAAGGCTATTTTCTGAAAGATTTTGTCTCCATGAAAATAAGTTTATGGTTAGGCTTTTGTTTTCTTATATATCCTTCTTAATATGAATATGAACTTCAAGAAGCCACATACCTTACTAGAGAAATGTTAGCAAGACAGCACCTGCACATTTGTAAAATTCAACCAAGCATTTTGCTTTGCTTCATTATCCAGAATAATGTTGAGGGATGGGCTGTTGAGAGGAGTAAATGTTCCGTCATGAGTTTGTAAGATGTTTCTGCCTGCTAGGAGCACCCCTGTGCACAGTCCCCACAATTTAGGCACAGTACAAGTTTTGAGGTGGCTTTCACGACACCTGGAGCCATCTCACCTGCCTCCCAGCACTTCAGAGCTGCTCTCTCAAACACTCCAGGCAGCCATGTGCCCTGGCTCTGCCGCCTGTACCTGCAGTGGGGCAAGGGCTGCCTGGTCCCTCTGATAAGGATTCTAGGGGAATACTACTGAGGAAAGGCTGCAGTAAAATAAAAGGGATGGGAGCTGAGTTAGCTATTAATCCACAATATAAATTAACAGAAAATACAGAAAGTATTCACAGAAAGTTACTCTCCACCTGCAAATATGTGGCAACTTTTTAATTAATATTTTAAATAATCCTTTGCAAGTGCCATGGAATGTTCAATTGCTTGGCATGTGAGTTCCTAGTCAGTTTTGCACAC